CTATATTGTAGATTCATTAGATAGTCGGTTACAGGTTACCCGAGAGTTACAGTTGTAGTTTTTAGAGAGAGGGAGAGAGAGATGGGGTTTGGCGTCCGCTCGGTGCGGACTGGGACGTTTCGGTGCTGGGATGTGGTTTTGGTTTTATTTCAGTGGTTCGCTTGCGCGTGGGGGTCTTGGGGGTGGGAGGAGGCTGGAGGACCCGGAGAAAACCCACGAGGTAGTTTTTAAGCAATAAACACAACCATTCTCACCCGTTCTTTGATTCTAAGCGTTGCGACAGGCTTAATGCATAATTTTTGTTATTTATTGTCGTAGTTGTATATGGGCGAGAACAGACATTTAATTTTCAGCGTTTCAACGTATAGCTGAAAATAGTTGTCTGTTCGTAGGTCATGACATGAATATTAATTAGATGTGACATGCACGTGCGTGCTTGTCTATAAGTGTGTGATGTGTCATTCTAGCTTCTTTCGTCGACTTGAAAACTACAAGTTTTCAGTGTTTTTCATATAATGATTTGAAGGGGTCCATAGGTTTTTCCAGAGTATTTGTCTTATAAAGTTTTATCTCCGGTTTTTTAGACCAGGACCGAATGTAAAGTTATAACTATATATGTATTTGTATCAAGAATTATGTATCTATAATATAATAAACGTCTGATCCAGCGTTGCGACAGGCTTAATGCATAATTTTTGTTATTTATTGTCGTAGTTGTATATGGGCGAGAACAGACATAATATTTGGAACGTGTTTAACCAGTTCTATCACATATGTGATAATGACTGGCACCAATATTGTCCTTTAATGTTTAATGAGAATAGAGAATTGTGTCCTATTGTTTGGTTTGCAGGACTATTTGTCGTTCTGCGATTCAAAAATTTTGAAAACCTAAGACAGTTTTTTTTTATTTCGCTCATGTCGTTCTCTTGTCGATGTAGGTAAAAATAAACCCGTTTCATCGTCTGGTATGAATATGCGTCTAAAGAACCATTTGCATAATGCAGGTTTGTGGGCTGGTGAAACACCACACATTGCAAGAGGCGCATGTGCTATGACATTAAAATTGTTGGGCGTTTTTGATCAAAATATTCAAGCTCATGTTGGATGGAAGTCCTCAAAAATCTTACAAAAATATACATCTGTGATCGCGTAGCAGCGATGATGTCGAAGGATTTTGTTGGTAACATAAGAACAAATGAGTTGTCAGAAATGAGTTCTGATTTGAATAACTGGTTCAACTTGTTATTTCAGACTGAAATTAAGAAAGAGGTAGCGGAGTTAAAAAGGGTACTTGATCAACAGCAAAAAGTTCAAAATGAAGAATCAGTCGAATCCGCTCTCCGTCAGGTGAAAGAATACGGTAGTCGAACATTTGATTTTAACCCAGACGTTTTTCTGCAGAAGCTAATTATTTTGGAACAAAGAGCTAGGAAGACGAATCATCCTGAGAGTGAATACTTCTCGTTTGTTTTACAACGTTTCAATTATAAGTTTCATCCTCGAGTAGGGAGCTTAACCATAGCCATGCTGTCAACAGCTAACGAGTCTAAGATTTTGAAAAAGGAACACGATGCCTGAAATGCATGGTGGTTTTGTTCAGGAACCGATCCTTAATGGGTATAGACCTACATCATAAAGATCAGGTCCAAGGTGTTATAATTGTAATGAATTTGGAAATTTTGCTAGAAATTGTTTCAAAAAATAAGTTCTCCCCAATGAAAATGTTTTACTTTTTTAGTCGAATGTTGGAGCTTACATAAACAACTTGGTCTCCCGGATATCTTATGACAGCAATGCATTATTGTGTACAGAACATCCACGGCAGTGGACGTAATTGAAAAAGAGTTACATCCAGGTTTGCGCTTAATCCCCTTTAGAAGAACTGACGAATTTAGGGCCGGGAACATTCACAACTGTTTTCAAGAGTGGGAGAAAATTGTCGAAAACAATCGCATAGATAACATTGATGTTTTGGATGTCATTAAAAATCGTGTCAAGAATATGAAGAAAATTTTCCACCGTCTAAACGATTTCCGAATGCTAAAAGCTGCGAACAGTTTCGAGTTTTCATTTGTAGTGAGATAAGAAACAGATTGAAAACGGGAGCAATTTCGGTTTTTAGTTCAAGTGATAAACCGTATCTAATTTCGCCATTAACGGTAGAGCCTCCGAAGCCCCATGCTTGAACCTCAGATTTTTTAACTGCTGGATGAAAGATACGCCTTTTAAATTGGACACTCTTAATAATGTACCTAGAATAATAGAGAAAAATACTTTTATGTCAAAATTAGATGATAAATCCGGGTATGACCACGTGTTAATTTCGAACGAGTCATGCGTACATGTAAACATAGACGGTTTATAAGCATAACCTCAGTCTCGTGCTTTATCCTACACACAATATCTGGACTTATAGGTACGTTAATCTCAATTTACTGCACACACGTGAACAGGAGCGTCCAATCGGTTAGATTTAATTTGATAAGGCCATTATACTTCAAGAAAGTTTGGTTCAAGGCCACCAGATGTAAACAGGGCTAGCAACTAATCCCAACCCTGGACCTAGCCCCAATGCTTACCCTAACCTACAATCTAGCCAACAATCACGTGCCCTAACCCTAGACCTAGTCCTAATGCTTACCCTAAAGCGGTGGACACACTAGCCAAATAATCCAGCCGAATCAATCGGTGTCGAAATTTGCCTAGTGTATCCACTGTCATTTGGCCGAATGATTCATGTTTGATATATTCGGTCGAATTATATTCGCCTATAGTGTGTCCGCTTCGACGAAGCATTCGGCCGAATGTAGAATTCATTACCCAATCACCACTCATATCGAGAAGTCACATAATTGTTTGAAGACATAGACGCCGCCAGGTTTTATCATGTGATGCAATCGACTGGTGAATTGGGCGAAGCATTCGCGTAGTGTGTCCAACCATTCGGCCGAATACAATTTGGCGCCGATTGATTATGCCGAACGATTCGGCTAATGTGTCCACTGCTTAACCCTAACGTACAATCACGTACCCTAACCTTTTTTACATCTCAGCGACCTTGACGAAAATTGAGCTTTCATTAATTAATTATAACAAATAGATTTAGCTCGATAGGCTACCTCCACGGAAACACTGACATTGAAAGAACCTTGAACTTTTTAACTCGATTATCACAGGTATAACATTTTAGGTAGAAAGCGTGAGACTTGGTATTCGCCAGGGCCTAAAATAAGGTTAAATTCTGAGAGCACTGATTTAGAGTCCCCGGAGCCGCGAAGCGCGCCGGTGGGGGGTCTGGGGGCCTCCCCCCGAAAATTTTGAAAATTGAGAGCTTGAAACCGGCATCTGTGGACTATTCTGGTGCAGTTTACATAGGAATTTATTTTGTCGCGAGCAGCTTTTTTCGCATGAAAACTCAGCACTAGGAAAAAAACACACCACTTTCGTTACGATAATATCTGATCTGTGCAACTGACCACACCACAAGAACAAACACTCAATTAGAGGTCAGGAGGCATCGCTGACAACACTTTTTTTTTAGAGCACTACACAATTTTTCAGAGCACGGTTTTCTTATTTTCGAAGCACGGATTTTTCATTTCGAGGCACGTTCGTGCTCCAAGGCACGTTATTTTAGGCCCTGGTATTCGCGATGATCGAGGAATCGGATAGGCTCTCAAGCTGGGTGAATTTTTCCATCGAAATTAGTACCGAAATATCCAGGGCATTACGTGAAGGCCTTGATAAGATGTACAGAGTTACAGGAGCTAAATCGCTAATATTTGGGATCTAGAAACTGACAAAAATAGGTCGAAACGCATATATAATATAATATAAATGTATATTAACTGATTTACATTTAAACATGCATTATGCAAGAGCTAAATCTAATTATTGCAAGTCTTAATTTAGGCTTCAGATGTTATAGAAATTATAAATTAGATCTTTATTTAAACAAGAAGACCAAAATCAACTCTGTAGACCCACGGATGGCTCGGCTACAGCTCGGATTTAAATAGGATTTCACTAATTGATTAAATCAGATAAGGGGTAACCTGATGAAAATACGTCAGTTAGATCGAGGCTAAATGATAGAGTGTACTTAGCGAGGCCGCTGTAAAGCGTTTCCGTATGCCATTGAAAACTTTACTTGATAATCGAGATATGTAGGTGGAGTTAACGCCTGTCAATCAAACGTTCGGCGAAGGTGTAGACACATTTCGCTACCATTTCTAGGCAAATATTACAACGATGATAACTATGTTCAGAATAAAGTAATTTGACTGAATTTTTCAATATATTCTTCTTTCATCATCTACTTTTGAACTGTTATAGCAAGAATGACCAACTCTCTATAAATATCTCCCATAATGTATCTTTAATTGTTTGGTTTTACTATAATTTCTTATCAGTTATGTTCGGCGAAATACGCCAGACGTTTCAATCAAATGGCCATCTCTAGCGTCTGGTTAGTCCAGTCTACGTCGATAGTATTTATTGCCATTGCTCTCCAGATAAGAATATAAGGTCACCGTTTGACATGACTTGTGGAATATGTCTAGCCTGGTTACAAATGGCGCTGAAACACATTATGGTACACGATTCATGTACCAATGGTAAAATGTTGTGGGTTTTTTTTGTCTTAAATTTTGGATATCAGAAGTCCATCTTTTCCCAGTGTGATCACAACATCAATGTTGTTTTAAATTGACAAATAATTTGTGTTTTCAATGTCGAAGACGTTGGGTTACATTGAGTTAGAGACTTAGCTACTTTAAAGTGAGACCATGCCTTCTATTGAAGATGGGGTAGAACAAAATGAGGCACCCATCCAAACCGCTACAGTGTATTAGATATGATTTACACTAATAATATAGAAACCCCTGCAAGTTTGATCCAATTTCATCAAAATGACAGATATGAAAGGAATAGGGTTAATATGATGTATACCGTGGTCACTATTTCTTTTTCTTATTTTTTTTTAAAAAGGAGAGAGATTATTATGTTTAAGTATGGGTACAGCCATATCACCTTTATTAGTTTATTTACAATATGGTATGTCTGTAATGTGTAGATTAGATGTAATACTGTCTGAATACTTTACATATATATATTTACACAGTTTAAAGTGACAAGATCGGCCACCACATACAGACAAATATCATATATACATCATAATTTACATACATTTACATATATTATACTTTCTACACACATTATACACTTGTTTACATAATAATAATAATAAAAATAGTAAGATCATATCATTCATAACATGCTTTTTATTTCAACAACCCTAAATACATATTACCTATCCTAGTACTGTTAAACATATTATAGATTTTAAACTCAAAGAAATTATCCGTCATATTTAATTTTTTTTTTATCTAACTTGCTCAATATACCAAGGATTTCAATTGTGAAATGAATTTAACTATTCTTGCTTGAAAGATGTATTATTACCTTGGAGATCTACATAAAAAAATCAATTTGATCTGACTACCCATATAAATTGCATTAGGCATGTTCAAATTTGATTTCATGCTAGGTATGGCACTTGGTCTATTCTCAAGATGCAAGCTTTTTTAAACAAGCGGTTGCCATGTAAGATAAACACACATTTTGCAAGAGATGGGTAGAAAACACGCCAAGATCCAGAAAGTTAAGAGTCCAACACATGCAAGTACTGAAAGGAACCCAGACCTTTGGGATATAAACATATATTTTAATTTGTGACCTCTAGAGGGTCCACAACCTTAGTACATAGTTTTACACTATTTGCGTAAGGGAGCAGCTATTTTGTAGGACAGTTTCACTCCGATTTTCACGAAATTCGAACTCAATTGTCATTATGGTCGAACGGTGATATAATTAAACGTTTTTTTTTTCAAATCAGATAAAAATTGTGACCTCTAGAGGTTTCCACAAGCTAAAAATCAGGGGTCATAATCCAAGAAGTTTTAGTCCGATCGAAAGGAACTGAGATCTTTGGAATATAAACATATATTTTCAGGCATATCCGTTCGTCTGCTCTGGCATATCCGCTTGTCTGACCCCCATTTTACCTATGGCAGACAAACGTATTTTTTTCGCCTTGTCGGGACGATTTTTAAAATTGCTCGAAAAAAATTGCCCATGTGCCCGTTCACGGCGACGATTCCGCTCGGCGAACCCCGTATTTAGAATGTTAAATATTTTCGGCCGAATATTTTACACCGGCAATCAATTCGCCGGCTGTTGTCTGCCCGTGTCCAGCTTATATTGTCGAGCGAACCATTTTCATACGCCATTCGGGGACATCATTGATATCACATGATCTCAAAATGGATGCCTCCACTGCGCATGGAATCTGATGAAAAAAGAATTGATGATTCTTTGGTTTGAAAGGCCTTGCCTGTTTGAGATCACGATTCCAGGGTTTTAGAAGCAAATAAATAGCAGCTACCACAGCAATCTTACGCATTTTGTACAAGTCACATGATCAATGTAATTTACTCGCACATTGGCGTACACTCTTGTGATGATCGCTACGTGTAATGGTGATATATTTGAATGGTTTTTAAAATCGGATAAAAATTGTGACCTCTAGATGGTCCCCAGGTTAAAAAAAAAAAAACCCAAAAGACCCACCGCGATTTTTGGTGCAATCAGGGTCCATAATCTTACATTTTTGGCTATTCGCTATTCTGTACAAGTCACGTGATCAATGCAATTTACTCGCACATTGGCGTACGCTCTCGTGACGATTGCTACAATGTAACGGTGATATATTTGAATGGTTTTTCAAATCGGATAAAAATTGTGAACTCTAGATGATCCACAGGCTAACCCCCCCCCCCCCAAAAAAAAAACCACGCGATTTTTGTTGCAATCTTGGGCCATAATCCATGAAGTTATAGTCCGATATGCACGAATATTGACAGGAACCGAGATCTTTGGGTTGTAAATATACATTTTAAGTTTCGTCAAAATCGGATAAAATTGTGACCTGGTGAATGTCCACAGACACGGGCAGGGGCAACGACAATATACGTCCACATGAAAATGTGGGCGTATAAAAGTTAAATATAAGGGAATTCTACAGAATTTGCAGCAGTCTTCATACGGGACGTCCTGCCCAATATCAGTGGCACTATCAGACTTCGTCTTCATTAGCCCAGTAGAATGTTAAACCTCATTTCATTTAATTTCTATACAGGACTGCATGGATATTTTAAAAGGAGTTAATTCTGAATTAGCTTACATAATACTAGGAGATAAAAAGATATTTAATTTCTTGATCTAAGTGCTATTATTCCATTATCTACACACCATATGCTTCTGAATTGAACTTATAATGTTATAATAAATTAAATTGTGTCGTGATAATTGATATTCAACATACAATTATAATAAATTAAATCTAGATTGTATTAAATGATATTTTTGGATTAAAATACGATCCATTCAACAATGCATTGACACATTTATCACATGCAGGCATTTTGAGTAAAATAATCAGATATTAAAATATATAATAAACATCAAAGTTGAGAATGTCAGAAAAATAACTCTCACATGTTGGTCACCCATTGTAGCAAATATATCAGCATTGTCATAATTAGAGTAAGATAACTTTCCACACACATACAACCATTTGGCACAGTCCTTATCTGAGTGACATCTAGAAATGATATCAACTCACAAAGACATGTCTGACTGGAGATAGCTAGGGTGTAGTTTAGTTATAGATAGAGCTTATCCACTGAACAATAGATACTGACATGTATTATTTATGTGTTGTCATTTAAGCCAGTGGACCCACAACAGTTGAGCCATACTTCACTACTGGATAAGAGGTCAATTCACGAAGCTTACCTAAGTTCAATACAGTTGAGTAGTAAAATGTTCAATTTAGAAATAGATCTTTCTGAAATGGGACCCAGTTTGCCATTAATGAATAAGCTATTAATTAGTGAACTGAGAATTACTGAACATGATTGTATATTAATGTGTTTTAATTATTAATCTGGTTTATGTTTAAATCGTTACCTTAAATAACCTGTAAAGTATATTTTTATCAAAATCATAGTGATCTATAAATGAAACATACACCTCCAGCAGTCAATTAGTCTGAGCTGATGATTTTTCAGCTTTATCAATAATCATCCAAAAATTGTAATTAGATTTCTTTGTCCCATGCCCAAATTCATTAGGTTTTTTTTCATCTGATGGGCATAAACACTGTATAAATTGCATGTTGATTGGATAATTTTAGGATCTAGATTTCTCAAAGTTACCAAGGGTCACAATTGAAAATCAGGAGTCTTTGTCATCTCATGATGGTAACTATAGCCTCTAGAGCATCCACAAGCAATATACAATATCTAAGCATATTTCAATGTGGGTGTATCAAAATCAGCTATAACTTTTATAAACCCAATATTTTTTAAAATGATGCAAGTATAGTAAATATACAGGGAGGCATATTTTTAAGTACTATATATGTCAATAAAACTACATATAGTGCATGAATATCATATACTATATACCACATACTATAAATTCCATTATTTTCTATACATATTTTCTATCATAACAATAAACATAGCATTACAATACGATTCTAAGAACAACATTTTCTTAACAATCTGCCATAAAGTCTCAATAAAGAATTATGTTGTTTAATTCCTATAATTAGTAATTATTGATTTTTCATAAAAATGGATTTCCCAGGAAGTCTTGAAATGTAATTAATAAGAAGATTACTTGCAGAAGAACTTAGAAATGTGACTGTTGTCATTGCTTTGGAAATCTAATTGGAATTATTATTTTCCCTTTATAAAAGTCGATGGCCTGGTCATTTATAACTACACACAATCATTCAGCACTTGTTCCTTATATAAAACATAATAAAAATTGACAACAACTTATTAGACAGATATAACAAAAATTAGTAGATTTTACAGTATATGATTGTTACCTCTCTTGTAATATATAAGGTTGTGTGAAATCTGTGTAAATACATAAGAAGTATAATGGAAACCTAGAAAAAAAGAATCACAGATAAAGCAAACATATAATAATAATAATAATATTAACAATAATTATATAAGTTTTACATCACATTGTACAAAAACATATGTACACAATTCTATAATATTTCTACTTAATATAACTGGAGAAATTCTTCACAACCAGAATTACTTTGCTACCTTAACAACTCTATAAGCATGTAAAGGCAGACAATCGTGATATGAAAACTCCTACTGTTAAATCACATTTACACACCTTTAAACAACCAAAAGCTATATTCCAGTATCATGGCATTTGTAAAAGGTAAAATTTAAAAACAAGTCGTCTTAATCATGATTTTCCAGTGGGAAAGTGGGACAGGGGTCCTCAAAAATTATTAGAGAAATATGCATTTTGAAGTATGTCTTGGATAACGAACACAATCAACAAAATTAATTGTATCTTGGCATCGATCAGGAAATGAAATTTTCTTAGGGGAGGCATAGGCAATCCTCCTGTGGCCTTCACTGTTCTTAACCATGGTCGAAGGGGAAGTTAGTTTTGGGACAGACATATTCATATATACTTGAACATAAAACAATTTGTGTTGCAATATTATTCATATTATTACTTTATGTATAAAACTGTATAATAATGATATTACATATTGATTAATAGTAAAATAAGATAAGATATCTAAACTATAAATAATATCACTCTATTGATGCATGTGGGTAATATCCAATTATACATTAAAGATTTCAGTAGTTTAATACACAATAGACATATACTTTTGCAGTAATGAGCATTTAAAGTAGAAATACTTACGTAATTATTTATAAATAGTCATTAAACATTCATACAGACAATTAAAAGGCACATAAGACAAGGAAAAATAGAACAGAATTTAAACAATAATATATTATACCAACAATAAAAACATTAACTAGATTCCACCAGCACTATTAGTAATATTCACTATACACTAGAGACCCTAAATATTCCTAAGTCATAATTACTTTCACAATTTTAACATGCTCAATGCTACAAATGTTTTTTTAATCTGAATTAGATCTTGTTGAAACTTCTTAAATAATCTCCATAATTTTGTACCACAAAATAGATATTCACCTTCTGATCTTTTACCAAATAAATATAAAATAAAAATAAGTTACCTTAGAGCTATACAACTTATAACATTTTAATAAATCATCAGTTTATCAATGACAAAATACTGACTATTGATTTAGAAAATGTGTTTAAAGCAGATGGTTTGTTCAGTTACTTATATAACATATCAGTTAAACATACATCATGCGAGAGTTAAATCTGCTTATTCCAGGTCTTTCTTTAGGCCTGAAATGTTATCTAAATTATTAAATAGACATTAATTAACCTATCCAGACCGAAATCAACTCTCGATGTCATTGCTAGCCTGTGATGTTTATTGGATTAGGTTCTGATTTGCTGCTCGACTTCCATTCATGATTTAATCATGAAATGGACAATCAAGACTATGTTTTTATCGTACCCGACTTTAGTAATGTTGATCGTGGCTAGGCCGAAAAATTCAATCACTAAAATCTCGGTTCAGAGTGGATCAATTTGACTGAAAATTCCCTTTACATTATCTAGTTTTTAATATTATAGTGAGAACTGCCAGCTTTTTATCTAATCTCCCATAATGTATCTTTAAATAAATTTGTTGAAATGGCAAATGTTGCCAGAAAAGTGCCAATTTTAAGATTGTGTTGTAAGTTTTATGACATCAGAAAGGAAATGCATGAATGTCTCTACTCTATTCAATTGTTTTCTTTTTTATTTCACAATCTTAAGAAAATCCTTTTCTGACAACAGACTGTTAACTAAATCTATTTATAATTATTAGAAAAAATACCAGTTATATCATTAATATTATTATGTATCGACTAGTAAAATGTGTTATTAATATTATTGCATATTATATTTAAGTCAATTATTGTCTGAATATTGACTAGAATTAAAAGAACAATGAGCAAGAATGTTCAAATATTGATCGGTAGACTTCAGTCTAGTCTTTATTTTTTGAAACTTTTTAAAAATTTCTTCAAAACTTTTAACAATTTGGTGACATTGTATTAGGAATGATGACTTCTCTTACTATATTCACATCAATCTCTATGTTTACAATTCTCAGTTCATACAATACTATTATTTGTAAATGTGTTCAACTATAATTTCCTTTACAAATACAAGCCATAAATTAAAATATGGGTATAAATGCCATAATATTGCCATTGCATTTCTTCATCATCATTTTAATATGACCAGTTTCATTATTGTACAATCATGAAAAGCAGTAAACAAGGAAATGTTTCTTTTTCCACAACCTGCAAGCAAAAGCAGGGATAGTTTAAAATTTATTAAATGGATAAACACTTTTTAACTTATGGCACTTACCATGCAGCTGAGTCTGTGCATGTACAAATAGCCAGCTGATACATCATCATGTCTCTAGTCTGTATAACAATACTTAGATTGTATATATAACACGTTGAGGTGATGGCTGTAAATCAGGTCACCATCATAAGCTAATGATCAGCCAGGTAAATAATGTCATTTCATTAGTCAGTACTCTTATTGAAAAAAAAAAACAACAGGCGTAGTATTGAAGATAAATGCAGCAGATTAATTGCCTATCTCTTTACAGTCTATATACCACATACATGTGTCAATTAATCTAGTGAACATCATCTTGTAAATCTAATAACATCAACAATATTATCACTAGGAGGAATATGGGCGTAAATGTTCCAGTTGGATTTCTAGGGCTATTCTCTGTTCCATTACTTCCTGCAATTCTTGATTAAGTTCACTGTTTAGTCGAGTTAAGGTTGAGTTACGCTCTTTGTGAGTTCTTATGGCCATTTGTACTTCTCTCTTATCTCGACTTATTGTTCTAAACAAAGAAGGAAAGAAGGTTCAGATTCATTATCAGAAAAATAAAACAAATTTTACCATACTTGAATACTTACAGTAATTGTATCAATTGTTAATCTAAAATGGCATACAGCTTTTAATTCATTGGTTCATAAAGTGTTACTGTGGTATTTAATAAACCAAAAGGTATGTAAGGTAGTTCAAAATCTATCAATAATCGATCATTTCTGAGATGTTTCGTTACTAATATTTTTTTAAATATTAAGATTACACAGTACCTGACAGCTGTTTTCATTATAGGTTGTTTATCACTTGGCTCATTTTCTTCACCACCTCCAGAATCTAACAAATTTGGGGATTTTATCTATGCAAGAAGAAAAAAAAAGAAAAAAGGAAATTATTTGGGGGGAAATCAATTCATGCAGCATTTCTGCCTACTCTTCTTAAATTACAACTGTGTACATGGGGTGGACCTCAGTTTTTTTAACCAGACTGAAGGAAGAGTAACATTTGCCTTGCAAGCACTGCACGTGTCACCCAAAGCAAGTGATACTCAGGATGGAAAAATCATGAAGGTATTGCTCAGACCACGTCAGGATTTGAAACTGTGACATTTTAGTTGGAAGTGCATTGCCTTACCAAGCGACCACTGTGACCCGAGAAGCATGATGAAAACACCCCGTTAGAGAATTTACATGTCCAACCTTTTTCTTATCAATAACACATATAAGAATATAGAATCATATTATATTAATGTAATACGCTATAAAACATTATACTTACTCTATGATCTGAAGAAAGTTGTAGATTACTAGTAGCACTGCTCATAGCTGGATCTGTTAAAAATATTTAACAAATAATTAGAGCTATTTTGTTTAATTTTATGTTGTGATGTGAACAATGGGATGGAAGGCAATTTTCCGAGTTAACTTCAACATATAAAAGGTGCTTTTACTCTGCTCTTATTGAGAGAAATAACTTAAAATATACAAATGTCAAAATGTTTACATTTCTATCTATAAAACATAATTTCATGAAATAAGCTATCTGGGCTATTAAGTAACCTATTCTCTGAAGTAAAATATTTGACATACCTCCACCTCCAAACTGATTTCCAACCTAAAACAGAAAATGTATTGTGATACAACACAAATATATCTATCAACTGTAAAATTAGCTACAATTAAACTGATACTTCTTTATTTGTAATTGAATATAGTATAAACATTAGGAGCTTTCACAGGAAATGATGCTGAAAGATGTAGTTACTCAAGGTTTAAGTAGCATTCACTTTATTGCATGATAATCAGTCAGGGAAAATGCTAGTAGCAAATATCTACCTTTTTAATATATATTTTTTTTTATTATGTTTGAGAGTTTTCATTTTAATAGACTTCCTGCAACTGAGAGTTTACTAGCTATAGATTCCTTGAAACAATTTTATAAAGGCAACATAAGACAGAACAGAACATAATGAACAAAAACAAGCATCATGCAGGCAATGTTAGGGTAAATCTATAAAATGTAATGTGTGATGATTCTAGATTGTAAAATAGAACTTAGAAGGCAGATTTCCAATATGATCATGTGCATATTGTTCTGTATATAAGCCTACCATCTCTGCATGTCATTGGCCAAATTTTGACAGTTCAAGGATTGCAGATATTTGTTTGTGAATTGTTACCGTATACACTTGTCTTCAATGTTAATGCCCGCTAAGCACTTAATACTATAGGGGAAAAACATTTTCTATTTTTCTGAAGCACAAAGGGAGAGAGAGAGAAATGGGGTTTAACGTCCATTTGACAAAAACTAGGTCATTTCGGGACAAATATATGGTTTAATTTTATTTCAATAATTTGTTTGTGCATAGGTGTTTTTAGCAGTGGGAGGAAACCGGAGAAAAGCCACTGGGTTGGACAGGCGACCTTACTCCTTGTCACGTACAACCGGGAAATCATGACCATGCCAGTTGACTCAATGACAGACCTTATGATACAGCGGGCAGAGAGAGAGAAATGGGGTTTAACATCCACTTGACACAAACTAGGTCACTTCGGGACTAACATATGGTTTTTAATTTTATTTCAATAATTCGCTTGCACGTAGGGGTCTTTAGCAGTGGGAGGAAATCGGGGGTTTCAGAGAAAACCCACGATGTTGGACAGGCGTCCCTACCCCTTGTCACGTACAACCAGGGATTCGAAACTACACCAGTTGACTCAATGACAGGCCTTATGATACAGTGCGCACATGTTAACCATTCGGCCATCCAACCCATTCGGTCATCCCCCCCCCCCCCAAGCACAAATATCAGGTCATATATGGTACCAAAACCTAACATAAACTGAGTAAGGAAGTAAACACTATTTAAACAGTCTAAATTACACAATGTACTGTGGTTGTATTTCTGCATTAGATATATCTAGCAAAAGTTTTTTGGGTTCAATTCTTTACCAATGATTAGCAGATCATTATATGCAGAAAAGAGGGTGAGTAGATTGTAGCCATATTATAGGTTCAGATTCTTTCGGTTAGATAAAATAATGAAATCTGATTAAAAATGTTTAAACATTCTATTTATCTAAACATTGATGTAATCTGATAACAATGAACAAAATATTAACCCTTTTAGTAATCTTCCAATGTTTCTAATAAACACCACTCCCAAAAAACAAAAGGTTTTCTTTAAACAGAAAGTGTAACCAATCCAGATGCTCAAATGAATCTGTGTATGTTATTACCAGAAACTTAATGTTTTTCATCAATATTTTCAAGGTACAAATTTACTGATATTTGTTTATAGTATGTTAAAATGAAAAAAACAAAAAACAATAGTGCATCTTTCATATGATTCAAGATGACCTAACGAAGTCAAGTCATCGTAAATTATTTTTCATAATAAATTTAATCCCATTTGCCACTTGTTAGGCCATATTACAGATTCATAAATGTCAGAGGTAACAATACCTCACTTGAGCATTTTGCAAACATGAGCTTTTATGCAAAATACTAAAAAAGCTTAAATCCCAATTCCCAAATTTCTCACCACTTTTGAATAGTCTAGTGACAAACAACGACGATGCCTCTCAATGGGGCCTATTATAAACTTGGGTTTAATATGAGAGTGTCTAGTCTGAAATGATATATAGTGTATTCAATGGTTATATAAGCATTACCTGGTACTATAAGAATTGCTTAAAACAAAGTAAAACAGTTGTGAATTCAGACTTTAACTCTTTTGTAGTATGTGACCAGCTCTGGCTAAATGAGACACATAAAAAAATCAATTCTTACTGATTTAGAAATTACAGCATATTTGTCTTCAATAATGACCATATTTTTTATTTCTTAAATACTAAAAGGCAAAAACAAAATTTAATTTACAGTTTTTGGTTGTTATAGAGTCTTGTTTGGATTGTTTTGGAAATTTCAGTAGTTGTTTTTAAGAAAATTTATGTTGTTGTGTATACAAACTTCAAATCTAAATACCTAAGATATGGTTAAAGATAAATGCATTCTGTCAATCTAAAGGTCTTTGAATACAGAATTTAGTTTTATACATAGCTGTTTTTTTTATTTTCAACCTATGTTTCTAATTTAGCTGCAGCTGTTCACATATACCTTCAGAAGTTCAGACAGACATTGAAGTTAATAATTCTGAAACCATAACATATGTAGTAAATTGTATCTGGCTTCTAAGAAGATTTTAGTACTGTTTAAAAATATATGTATCTAATGGAATAGAAATCAGGTCATACAATTTCATTATAATTGTAAACTCGTGTATGTATAATGTTTGTCTCTAGATAAATCCTGATATTAAACTGCTGGACTTTTCAACAAATTAAATATTATTCTAAGTCACTGATAAATGCTTTTTATATAAACTAATATAAACATATTATTACAGTAAAAAGCTTAGTAGCAAAATTCTACTTTCTGGATGTTTGGTCATAAGTAAATACTGACTTACCAATTTCAACAAGGGCATCAAATTGAACCTCACTAATATATTTTACATAAAATGCAAAGAAAGATGAATGGTAATATGAGCTGATTTCTATATTTTTAAATAAGTAATATTAACTACAAGAAGTTAGTTCTACCATACATATAACAAGATAAGTAGAGAATTTGAAAGGAGCTATAAGCACCTCTTTGGGTGAAAGGTTGACAGAATCAGTAAATGATACTGATTTTTCAGTAGCTTCTATTGCACCAAAGCCCACAGGTTCATTTACTTTACGTATTGGTGGCTGGAAGAAATAAAATGGTATAAACATGCGAAAAGCAAACAATATTCATGAATGATATGAATGTATGAAGAATTTATTGAACTTAGTTTAAACAATAAATCTCACAGAATATGAAGTTAAATTCAATCACAAAATCTGATTGAGAAAAAATACCCCACATACCAAAGTTTCAAACCTAATACAGACGCTAACGCATTTACAAGCCATGTATTATTATCAAGATCAAATAAACTCCATAAAAAATGAGAAAGAAATAACATTGAATTTGACCAAATTTTGTTGAATTTGAACAAATTTAAGATTTTGTGCATTGCCAAGTTTTATTAAAATCTAATGGAAAAATCAAGTGTAAGGTAACACTATAAACAAAACAAAAATATAATAATCTAATGATGATGAATATGATTATGTAATATATTCAAAGCCAAGTTAAATATAAAATAAGAATAATGTTACATGAAAACAATGCAGCACATCATATCATCATGCATATATTAAAGAAGCTATACTTACATCTTTCGGTGATACTCTAGGTGGTACAGCAGGTGGTGGTAATAAACCCATTAATGCACCTACAACATATATCCACTTGTATTAACCCATTTAACTTATAATACATTGTCCATGATTAAACACATACATCTCACACCAATAGCTAATATTTTTTCTTTCAAAAAAACAAAGCAAACTATGCTATCCATTGACAATTTAATTTGATATAAAAGGCTTGATGTGTCAATTTGCACTATAGAAATCCCTTGCAAACTACAATATTGAGAAAGCGTAAATGCAAAATCTTTAATCTGAATATAATATATATGAAATTAAACTGATTCATGAAATAAATAGGACAGAAATCTAATTCTGTCATACTAAGTTATAGACACTTTTTTTTTTTTTATCAAAATAGAATTTATGAAGTGGAAAACATGACGACAAGTTCAGACATCAAGGGAAATATTATAAACTTATAGACTGAAAATTTTCAATATGGTAGGCTTTATTATCATTTTGTACAATACAGGTAATCTCTTGTGGTGTGTTAAAATCAATGATGAATATCAGTTACATTACACCTAAATCGAATTGTTTGCACACAACTATTAAACTTTAGAGATGTTCCTTAATAATTTGAATGATAATAACTTTATATAATATCGACTTTTTTCATATTCTATTTCAACCAGTTTTATGGTGAACTTACCACCCTCTGTTCTACACTTCAGATCAACTGACAGACTTCGTCCATGAGATTGTGGAGGTCGAGGTGGTGGTGCTGGGGGTTCTTGACTATAAGCTCCTGTATCATTAGCTGGGGGTAATAACACTGTGGGACGTTCTGGACCAGATGTCTCATGTTGACTAGAGAATGGGGGTGGTTGAATGTGACCTCGTCCTACCATTGGGACTGTAATAAGATAACATACATGCGGATCATTGATACATATTATTCAAATACCTCATTAATACAGCCTATATACCGACATAATGTCACATACTTTAAACATGCAATACACAACATTTATCTTATATTAACAGATTGTAAAAATACAAAAAAATTATAGACAAATACAACTGGTAACTAGTTCATGTTTTAGATCAGTTATATGTGCAAATACAAAAAAAAAGTATGTTCATTGTGGAATCAGTTACCAAGTAATCTTGACCATATTTCTTTGTTCAACTTTAATTATACCACATAATCATGAACAGGTGACGACACAAACCGTGAAATGATCTAGTGAATAAAATAAGCTTCAAGTGCTTTGCAAATAAATAAAAGAAAGGGTCCATCATTACTCAATTTAAACATAGGTAAAGAAGCTTGCTATATGCCTAGCACAAGAAACTTTCAAGAATACATTTTACGATGCTTAGATCTGCAATTTCAGGTATGACTGATATATTTACCAAAGACATACAAAATTATCAATAGCGATTCCACTTTTTATGCAATCCCTATAGCCCATTAAAGGTGCATTTTCATAACTAATTCATAGTGTAAATCTTAATAAAGTAGCACCCAAGCTTTCCATTACCAACTTCGAGGCTAGTTTGCCATGCAATAATACATTAATTTGTCTTTTAAAGGTGCCACAATACCACTATTACAGAACAACGCAAATTAAACAGTTTTGTACCTTCAATATAATATTCAGACCCAAATTTTATGAAATATGTCACATGGTTGACAAGAAAGCAAAAGATATGTGGCCAAGTAATGAAACATACACCCATAGTAACTAAGATGTCTGAGCAGTCTACAAAGGTTGTCATATCTATTCTTTTGTAGGTAATGGGAGCATTTACAAGACACCAAAAACTGATCGAGAGTAACAAATAATATTATCTACAATAATTTAACAAAATTTAATTAACTTCAAAATATTTTACGAAACACTACCAGATAAATAATTTAGCTGTTTGAATTAACAAGAGGCTTCATTGTCTCATGATTATAAACACGTGTTTAATTTTGGATGATAACATTAGCCTCTAGAGCATACACAAGCAATTATGAACGATGAATGGGGGTGACGACTATATGCAACCACATTTTAATGCGGGTGTATAAAAACCTAAAGATATTCAATGACTGCAGACAACAGAAGAGGGCCCAGACCTCTGGACTAATAACTACAAATATAGCTTTAATCATTGGGAAAATTAAATATATCAGAGTAAGGAGAAATAAATGTCAATAGCTCTGAAAATTGTTATCAACTTAAGTTTACTTTTTTTTCACAAGTTTTTAATATTAGTGTTAATTATAATGAAGAGGTTAATTTAACTATTCATTCTTATTATATTGACTTGACAATTTGATTTGAAATATGTCTAAAACTAATTAATACAGACAATATAATAAGAGTGTTATTTTAACTATGGTATAATGATGATCATCTTTATACCTTGATTTGGTTTCTTTGGCACAGGGCGTGGACGTGGATGTAAGGGTGTATTATACTTTGAGCCAGGGCCATCTACCTGACTTGAGTCAGCAGCACTTGACTCAGTATTTGACCTCTGCTTGGTCGGGGTCATTAAGTCATTTTGAGCAATGGCATCACAATCATGCAAGCCTGGATCTGAAAACACGTAAACCAAAAAACACAAAATAAAACTTACGAACTACACAACATCAAAGCAGGCAATATACTTTAAAAATATAATAAAATGAAAGTGTGTACAAAATAACATTTACATGAAAGTGTGTACAAAATAACATTTACATGAACTAATTCAGTGTAGTAAAAAAAATTTACACTTAAACAGGCAATATTAAAATCAAATAGTTCATCATTAGAATAACAGTTCTAGTTTACTTCTGTTACTAACATAAATTGAAAATGTGATATCAACTATATTTTGTATAAACACACAATTAGAAAGAATTTAGAAAGAATTTGTTCACAAGTATACAAAATAATACTTGTAATAAAAATAAAGAATATCAATTTAAAAGCTATAAACAGAAGATAGTAAACTGAAGTAATAGCTTTTAAGAGGCATTATCAACATATTCATATTAGGTTGTGTCAAAACATGGAAGCCAACCCCCCATCCTGTTATCAATAGAGCACATGTATGAAATGAGATTTATACATATTTAGGGTTTATATATGTTAATCTTAAGATAAAAACTTTGTAGTGTTATTATTCATAACACACTAGTATATTGTATGTGAGTGCTTGAATTTACAATGAATTAGTTGAGGGTGAGGTTATTCTTAATATGAGACACAAAATCAAAATACATTTTTGTGGTAAAAATGATAATGTCTCTTTTAATAAAAAAAAACCAAACAATAACAGAACATGCTTAAAGAGCACATAAAATGACTGTATAACAGTGATAAACTATAACACATACTTATTAAACTTAAAGTGATATGTACACTTTATAAAATTTCATTCAATTCATAGATAATTGACAAAACTTCACCCAAGGTGAAGATCTGCCCTTAATACGATTTTTCCAATTATATAATATAGTGATTGTTATCCATAGAACTGTGTTTTGTTATATCATGTTCAATTGCTAAATGCCAGTAATCGCACAGTGACCAAACGTTTATTGGGAATGGGAATTCCTCCACAGCTATATAATATACATTCAGGTGGTAACGGGTGTGTGCTTGTTCAAGCCTGACTGATTTCTTAATCTATCTGTGTAATAAAATAAAACAGATTAATTTGTTTTATATAAAATCAATGAAGAATCAAAGTATAGCTTATTAAAAGATTGTTTAATTTAGATTCTATTTCGAATTTGTTTTAAATATGTAACAATTAAGAGTCAATGCGGACATATTATGGTGATCATTTGATCAGAATAAATTTGAGTACATCTACAATAATACAAATAGGCTTATGATTACAACAACAAGATGGGTGTGAAATTGATATTACTGAACATCAATGAAGCCACCATGAAAACACCATAAATAATGTTGTTTTTTTTATGAATAAAAAATGTTTCAAGTAATAATCATGTCAATTTAGTTCATCAACATATGGAAGCAGATGTTAAGCCTCACAAATGAACGAACGATATGGTAATATATCAAAAAGTTTTAAATCAGATCAGTGAGAAATTTGTGTAAAGTGTATATAGTAAACACTAGCTTCAAGTACATACCACTTCTATATTATAGTCATATTATATGCTCTTTAAAGTAAATTGATCACAAAGAAAATCAATATATTTTACAGCTGCCAATTTAAAATACAATAGTTTAAAGCAAACAAATTAAAACACTGACTCATTAGATTTGACCTCAAGAGAATGACTAATCATTCCCACCAACTATAGTGTGAATTTCTTGTGTTTTATGTTAGTGTACTATTAACTAAATTAAATGTCTCATGCTCATTGTTAGAACAAACTACTCTAGAAGGTGTATTGTTTCTACATATTCTTCTTGTGTTGAAATATAGATTTTTCTCGCATAAATGTCAAGTAGATTTCTTGTATATAAATATAAATGCTGTTAGTGTAAAGAACTACAACCAGAGCACATGAAACCTAAGAACTACAACTAGAGCAGATCAAATGCCAACTAGTGTGTGCAAATGATGTTAGAGTAATAACTAGACTAGAGTAGATCAAATGTCAAGATATGACTTGTGTATAAATGATATGACTTAGTGTAATAACTAGAACTAGAGTAGATCAAATGTCAAGTATATGACTTGTATATAAATGGCTTAGTGTAACTACAACTAGAGTAGATCAAATGTCAAATATATGACTTGTGTATAAATGATATGACTTAGTGTAATAACTAGAACTAGAGTAGATGAAATGTCAAGTATATGACTTGTGTGTAAATGATATTAGTGTTTAATATTAATTAGAATTAGAGTAAAGATAAATAAGCTTAAAGTAGAAGACTTGAGAAATAGTATTAGTTTACATATTATTCTACACAAATGTTCATATAGAATTCATTATTTACCACCGTCACTGTTCATCAGTTTTGACTGTTCAGCTTAAAATTAACAACATATTCGTCTTTAAATTTCAAATAAAACAAAACAAAAAAACTAATCTAAATCAATAGTGACCGTCCCAATATATATATTTCATAAAAATAACCGAATATGACCTAGACTTGTTACCCAAATATTCTTCATGTAGATTTATTGTTCATGTTTAACCCTTGTCGGTTCACGTGGGGTCTCCGTGGACCCCATGCACATGTTTTATAGTGTTTTGTAACAAATACTGGGTACAACTTTCTGAAATTTAGTGACTTTGTCTCCAATACATTTTTACACGTAGCAAAGAGATCGGTATTCATTTGCTTCCCACATGCAGGGTTATGTCACATGCAAATCAGGCCCAGCGCTTGAAGGGAACAAGGGGTCCAACCGGACCCCTAACTTATAACTCACAGTAGTGATTTTGCTAATGTGTTTGCTGCCTGAAACCATATTGCGTTTGCCAGAGTATTCCCTCTTTTAGCATCTGCATGTTACAAATACCAAAAATTAAATGATAAATTCCAAATATTGAATGGTTTTTGTATCAAGCGTGAATTGCCATTTAACCTCTTTATCACATAGTACACAAAGTAGCAATTTGGTGAGAGTTATTAGATCTTTTCCATATGCCACTAAAATGTTTTTGAATAATAATTTAGTCCATATAGACCCCACGATACCAGCTATGTGATTCTCACAACGTGAACCCACAAGGGTTAAATAGACATTTCTTGTTAAATTCTGTTGGGTTATAATTTACCTTGGACATGATAAAGGTGCAAGGATTAACAAAGGAAGTACATGTTATATCCCTTTAAGATTTACAATTGTATAATCCTCATGTAATGAGGCTAACTTGCAGGAAAATAACTAAACAATAAACGAGGATGGAATAGTACAATGTGACCTCATTTATTTTATTCTTTATGTTTTGTTTCATAAGTCAGTTAGATATTGACTTTCTACTTTTATGCTTTTAATGGTCACAACTATTAATTTTTATAGTTCATCAGTGGTAAGTCACATCCATGCACATATAGCGTTATTAGCTGTTCTGTTTGTCAAAATATAACATAGAAATCTTTAAGTTATTCTCTCAATAAGAAACAGATATTGTGTAAGAATAATTTGTTATCATAATGGCTGCGCTATAATGTTGGAAAGTATATATTTGTTATCCCACTGCACAAAAAAACAATAAGACTTGCATAAATCTGATATTTTACTCTACAGATTCACTGAAATCAGGTGTTCAAAACTTTATAAACTTTGTGCAATGAGGCTTAGGCCAAATATTTTGTGCAATGATGCTTTGACCTAAAATGTTATATTAATTCTGCTGGTCGCACTTTTTATATATCATTGCAAACTGTTGACAAGTGATTGTGTGACCTTTTTACCAATTGTAACATCTGTCGACACAAGTTGATAACTGATTGTGAAAACATTAAATTATAAATATCTGCATTTATTCGACATGTAATTGATAAAGACCTTCACCGATTATACCTGATAATGCACGACCTCTATCATAACCTTCAGGTGGTAATGGTTGACCATCTGGTGACATTCTTACAGCAACAGGATGTACAATCTTAGAATCCTGCAATAAAAACACAAAGATGTTCGTTTCAACAACTTAAATGGTTGAGTGCTCAATCTGCAAAAATTTCCCGTTCATTTCAGCAAGGCACAATATTTGTTTGCCAATATTGTTTGTGATTTCTTGGGCAAGCACTGGTATGTAACAATGCAGCTACAGACATTTTATGCATCACATGTAAATTGTTAGAAAAAAAAACATACATAAAACAAGATCAGAACTTGTGAATGATATTAAGATACTTACTGGATCGCCAGCAATAGGTTTAGCAAATTCAAAATTAGCAGGTTTTAATGCAGGGGAGGGAACGCCACTTGATTCTGGTGAGTCAACAGGAAAATTTGATGACCACTGCTGAAAAATAATGTAAATTTAAAAAATGTTAGGAACAAAATATTCACCTATGTTTGAAATTGGTGATGGAAGGCAAAAACATCACAGAATACCGGGATCTAACTTGTGCAATAACTTTAGCAGTAAAAAGTAACCCTACCAGGGTTTTTAAGTCTGTATTGTAATAAAATATCGCATATTTTTAAAAGTTTTGTTAAATGAATAAAATTAGCCTCTACAGCATGCAAAAGACTTTTTTAAATGATCAAGGGTCAAAATCTGACATTTGAAAATTAATAAGCCTTATTTGTCTCATGAACATAAACACCGTAGAGCGTCCACAACAGGGATTTTACTTCGTCTGTATATTCCGGACATGTCCTACGCAGTTTGCCAAACGTCTGACCAGGAATAGACCCAACTGGACATTAAAGTTACAATTTTATATTTTTAAATGATATTTTTAAAATGTATTAAAATAAAGCCCTAAAATAGATGGTATCTATAAACAGTCCTACCTTGTTAAAGAATAATCCTACTAATCCTATAATTCACTATTGCCAGTTGAGAAATTGGCAAAACTATCATTTTTAACTCCAACTTCAAACGTTTGAAGATAGCTATTTCATGGTGGGGAATAGGAAAACAAGGGAGGTAATTGTGTTACTATTTACGGTGTGAAGATTTTTAAGTGTGAGAAAGATAACCTATGATCGTATAATAGTGAGTTGACAACCTATTGAGCAAAAGGCATAGAAATAATTATGTTTTGACTTTCTTAGAAAATATGAAAGTGTAACTTTAAGTTTGGTAAATAATATACTATTCAAAAAAAGTAGGGGATATTTGATTTTGGGGGCATAATACTAAAATATGCAAATGACTACGAAAAAAGTCACTATAGAACCTAACAGAAGAAACATTTCCAGTTACATGTGACGCCCAAACGCACCAATAGCTACCGCATGGAATGCAGGTGATGCTTGGGATCATCATGGGGGTCCAACCCAAGATTTGCACGACTCTGACTTTGAATGTTACAGTCATTGTGGCATTGAATTCCAGGGTGGAAACATCAGTTTAATTGTTTTAGTGACCAGAAAACAAATTTTGATATGCGTCGGCTTACCCAAAATGAAAGGTTACGTGCCCTTGGCATGCTACAGATCGGCACAACACAGGCGGTTGTGGCGCGGACAATGAATGTTTCTCAGTCTGTCATAAGCAGGCTATGGTCCAGATACCGTGATACACAATCTGTACAGGACAGACCACGCTCAGGTCGACCAAGGGCGACAACTCAAGCCCAGGATCGATTTATCCGTACCTTGGCCTTGAGAAATCGTGTCATCACAGCAAATCAGATCAGCGCTCGTCTTCAAACAGACACTTGTGTGAGAGTGAGTGGCCAGACGATTCTGAATCGACTGCATAGGGGTCACCTTCGCGCCCGACGTCCTCGCGTGATCCCTTGTTTGAGAGATCATCACATTCAGGCAAGACGTCGTTGGTGTAGGGATCGTCAACACTGGGATAATCGACGCTGGAGCAATGTGATGTTTTCAGATGAGTCAAGGTTCACTGTTGATTTTTTGGACAGACGTAGGAGGGTGTGGCGTCGTCGAAACGAGCGCTTCCAAGACGTTAACGTCATCAGACATGATCGATTTGGGGGTGGTTCTGTTATGGTGTGGGGAGGCATCACTGTTGCTGGAAGAACGGCTTTACATGTTGTTGCAGGGCGTGTTACAGGCCAGTACTACCGGGACAACATCTGGGCAGTCCATGTTGTGCCGTTCGCACGACGTCATGGCCGCCGTTTCATCTTCCAGGATGACAACGCAAGATGTCACAGGGCCAGGATCGTTACAGGTTACCTCCAACAACAGAACATCACCACATTACCTTGGCCAGCACTGAGTCCCGACCTCTCGCCCATCAAGCATGTCTAGGACATGCTTGGACAGAGGTTACGTCAACGTCAACAACGTCCTGCCAATGTCCAAGAACTTGCTGCTGCGTTGCAACAAAAATGGGACAATCTGGACCAAAATGACCTTAGACGTCTCATTAGGAGTATGCCACGTCGGATCAATGCTTTTTTGGCAAACAGAGGAGGATTTACCCGTTACTGACTTGGTTGTGATGCTGTGGTAACTTTGCTGTTTGACCCCGGGTATCATTTTACCCTTATAATGGTCAGTCTGTGCCTTACTTAGTCTAACGATCATTTGGAATAAATCGATGAATGTGAACTTCATTTCATTTTGTCATTTGTTTCTTCGTCAGTTTCATTAGGTGACTTTAATAACACTTAAAAATCAAATATCCCCTACTTTTTTTGAATAGTATATTCAAAATTCCAAAATATATTTTTAGATTAATTTTTATCTGTAACTATTTCCCTTAAGAATTGTACAAGTTTAACCACCAGGCACCCCATCACACAATATTTTAATCATTTTCTGTACAAAATATTCTGTAGGCTAACTAGAATGATTCATTTTGGTGAGAAAAACGAATCACATGGGCAAATAACAATAACAAATGGTGACCATGCGTGATTACGGGTGTAAAGATGTAATTTTAAAATAATGTTTTATAAAAAACAACAAATGATATTTCGACATCAAGAACTACTCTTATTACGGACGTTTTGCTCTCATTTTCTGCTGTATAATTGAAAACAACACGTAATTTGGGAGGAATATAACTGAATTTGAAGCAGGTACGATACGCTTTTCACACATTTTTTAGGAATATTACTGATACGAATTTGAATACCGTTCAGGAATGAGATATGAATAATAGCGAGATAAGCCTATCTTTTTAATTTTTTTTTGTTGTATTCAGAACACAATATGCTACATAACATAAAAACTATTTGCAGTTGAAGCTAATAAAAGACTTCTGGTGACCTAATTCTGGCCTCCATTAAAATTTTGAAATAGCATCCCTGGTCCACAAGCAACATGGGTAAGTCATAAACCCTCCATATTTTAAACTCTTTGACTCAATCAAAGCAAATTTATGATTTAATCATGTATAAAAAAAAAATGCCCTGCTAACCTGATCAGGTGGAGGAGTTACCCGTTTTAATGTACTACCTTGTGGTAGGTCCGCAGCAAATGGTTCATCTGTCAATAAAAAATATCCAAATACAAACATGGGATACAGCCCAGAAGTAAATAATACCCCCCCCCCCCAAAAAAAAAGAACCCCCGGTTTAATACCCACTACAATATATCTCTAAATTAAACTTCATTACTGATATAATTTTTTAAATCATCGACGGGTGGTCATACTGAATCAATTATTATACTTTAAAATACAGATGTGACGTCACCCTTTGATGTTGGCGTACCATTATTTCAAATAATCGTACGGGCAACTTGCCAATAGTACTTTATTCATACCAGTGAGATATTTGACTAGTGTGACGTAAAAGCTCGTGCGGAGTGTCAGTATTTTAAGATGTTTAATGGTCTCGAGCTTACGACATTGCGTAATATATTGTAACAAGCCAACAGTGAGGCTGATGTCCCCCGCCGAAATAGGAAAATAATTAGAGGACACATATAAATTTATCACAAATTATCTTTTACAAAGTATTGAACAATCAAACAGTATATCTTTACTTATAGTCTAACAATCAAAGTAGGAGAGTTATTGTTTTCCAAAGTCTCGACCAATCAAATTGCGTATCGCTCTGCTTACCCTGAGCAGAAAATGCTCATTATCAAACTTAGTCAAGGTATTACTGTAATGAAACTATACACCAAGTTTCATCAATCTCACTTAATTAGAACTAAAGTTATCGTGTCCCAAAGCATCAACCAATCAAATTGCTTATCTCTGCTTACCCTAAGCGGAAAATGCTCATCTTCGAACTCCATCAAGGCATTGACCTAATCAACACATACACCAAGTTTGAACATTCTAGCTCAATTAGGAAGAGAGTTATCGTGCCCCAAAGTATCAACCAATCAAATTGCTTATCTCTGCTTACCCTAAGCGGAAAATGCTCATCTTCGAACTCCATCAAGGCATTGACCTAATAAACACATACACCAAGTTTGAACATTCTAGCTCAATTAAAAGTTATCGTGTCCCAAAGCATCAACCAATCAAATTGCTTATCTCTGCTTACCCTAAGCGGAAAATGCTCATCTTCGAACTCCATCAAGGCATTGACCTAATCAACACATACACCAAGTTTGAACATTCTAGCCCAATTAGGAAGAGAGTTATCGTGTCCCAAAGCATCAACCAATCAAATTGCTTATCTCTGCTTACCCTAAGCGGAAAATGCTCATCTTCGAACTCCATCAAGGCATTGACCTAATAAACACATATACCAAGTTTGAACATTCTAGCTCAATTAGGAAGAGAGTTATTGTGTCCCAAAAAGTGTGACGGACAGACAGACGGACAGACAGACGGACAGACAGACAGACAGACAGACAGACAGACAGACAGACAGACAGACAGACAGACAGACAGACAGACAGACAGACAGACAGACGGACGAACCCATTTTAATAGTCCCCTGCTTTCTTCGAAAGGCGGGGGACAAAAACATTCGGGCCTACGGCCCTCATGTTGTTACAATATATTACTTAATGTCTCGCTCTCGACCATTAAACAATACATAATAGAAAGGACCAATCTTACACAATCACTAATTAGTTACAGTATAGAAGATTTATAAAAAAAATCATTATTTCATAATCAATGTTTGACATACCATTAGTTAATGTAGCATATGGCATGAGAGAAAGAGGAAGGCGTTCTGGAAGATCAATATCATTTCTACGTAATACAACAAGATGCATGGCAATAATAAATTCTTCCAAAGATAATGCCCCATCACAGTTTAAGTCAGATAGTTGCCTGGAAAGTTAAAACAAATCAAACAAAGGATAAAAGACGATTATGTGAAGCCAGGAATTGAAATTTATAATAAAACTGAATATAAATAGACATGTGAGGTATGCTGAGTTTCACTAAAAATCAATAGGATTCATTATCTCAGAAATATAAACTCTGCATAATTTACAAGCCGATCGCACTACAATTTTAGCCTCCTTGACATCATGAATTCTATTTTTTGTCTTTCCAAAAACAGCATTTTGATGAAACTTAGAATTTAAATCTTTCTGCTTGAGATATATACATTTTTTTTTACAACCACATTTTGTCACAGAAAAACAACTCACCAGATCTTGGATAATTCAGACACAGGTAACTTGGATTTTTCAAAAAATTCTTTAGCAACTGGCCCTGTATGAAAGACAAGAGTTTAATAATATTTGAAATTCTTAAATCAACACAGAAGGCTTGATATCTATAGCAAATTTATTAAGCGTAGCATAAAATCATGGCTGAAATACAGGGATCTCCAAGTTTTTGTTAGTCTAGCTGAATTTAGAGATAGAAGGTTTCAGTCAAAACTGAACACAAGTACATTGAATATTACAAAGATTTAATTAAAGATAGAGGATAAAAAGTTCAAATCAAGGGAGCTAAACCTCTTTGATTTGGGTAAAACAGTATTATTTTGAATTTATATGATTGACCTAGAACTTGCTTCAAAAGATTAAAAAGTCACACTATTTACTGGCTTTAGATGCAACATTTTTGGTGAGGACAGATTGTGATCCCACAAAACAAATCAACACATAAAATTCAATTTAATCAGCATAAACTTAATTGTCTTGCCAATCCCTTTTGAAAGAAATAATATCTTAAAGCCAAATTGACAGGGTTTGGAGATATTACTGATTGAGCTTGACATCAATAGTGAAATATCTTACGGTCTCGAAATTCGGTAATGCCCACGTGAAATAAATCAAAAACGTCTACATACCTGATATCATTCCTGATAGATCTGGTTCCATTGTTTTAAACTGTTTAATATAATAATCACGTTGTTCATCAGTTACACAAAATACATCATCTACACTATCAGCTTCTGAACTAATAGATGATGAATCGAAGTTAGGCGGTTCCAAAGTATCAGTTTCCCATTTCTTCACACCACTACCAATAAGCACTAAAACAAAAAATTAATAAATAGTATCTCATGAGTTGTAGTACCTTATTCAGTATTTATTTGTATGCATACAGTATTTAACACACTTAAGAGATGTCAAATTGAATGGACTAAAAGATCATATTTTATTTCTAAGTGTAATAAATAAACTTGAGTAAGAAGTCTATATTGATCCATCCATAAAAGAGATAAATGTACGATTGATAAAAATCTATAAACTTACTATGATTTTCATCATCATCTTCAAACACTGCCCACCCACCATTTTCATTTGTTTCATTATTATAGATACCGCCTTCTAATGCCACAGGATTAACATGGCCGCCATCTAGACTAGTTTGTGTCATGATTAAATTTTCAGCTGGTACAGATGTAGTAAAGTTAGCTGGTACGGTTTGTTGTTTAATTAATTGTCTTCTGGCATTAGATGGAGAAACTGGTGGGGATTGTTGTGGTGAGAAGGGAGGTGACTTTGTTTCTCTTGGTGATGTTTCCTCTCTGTTCAATGCCTTTAAATAAAATAGAAACATATCATTATAAGAAAAATAATTGTTTTCAAGACTCTATTTCTATAATCATAGATATGAATAATGTTAGGTGTGAGGGCAGAAGAGAGTTTTATATACAGTAATTTAATAATATAATCAAGTACAGAAACTGTTTTGAAATTTAAATCAAATAAAATAGAGTGCACACAGAATTTTGGTCAAGGACACTAATTAAACATACTTAAGATTTTACAACGTAAACAAGGGCCATAACTCTTAGAAGTAATTAATATCAACAGGAATCTTAAATTCACATATAACAGAACAGGTCATTACTGTAGATAGAGTGTTAACACAATTTTACGAAATGAAAAAGTATAATGGTGTGATAATCTGCCAATCGCTAATATAATTAATGTTTCTTAAATTAACCACTTTAAGATCAACTGGCTAGGAAGTCGTTAACCTGTCACCACTTTTCAAGCCGTCATTAGGTAACGACGTTAATCCCATCTATTGTTTTTGTTGATTTATTATATTGTTTAACAGTTTATGCATTGTTCATCTATCAACATGTCAGTTTTAATTACAACATTTGCTTTTATCTTGATTTGTACATTGAAGGCAGTCACTAGTTTGGATCCCTTACTAAGTGCAGTAACTGGCCTGTCAGTACTGTATGACGATATATGTATATTTATGTTCCGGTATATTAAAGAATTGAAGAATCATTCGAAGTCTGTTATATCCAAAGAGAGAATTTACACCTCTAAAAAAGGGCCATAACTAAAGAAGTAATTAACAGAAGTTGATAAAAATCAATAGGTTTCTTCGTGTCACCAATTTGAACAATGCATATAAAGTTAAAATCAGAAATCATTGAAATTACAGGCTTCTTCGTTTAACCAATGTCAACAACATAACATTTATCAATATTAAAAAGAATCAGATGTGGATGTAGGGCTGTCGGTAAATTTTCACAGTTGATTACCAATTTTTTGCAAATTTGATAAGCAAATTAAAAAATTGATTAGCAGTTTTTCAGTTTCAACATACAACTACTAAATAAAAAGATATTACTTTAATTCATAACAAATGAATAGATTTCATCCTTAGATTTTTTAACACTACTACAGGTAGCTGTGACAGTTTGTGAATGCCTCCCAACTCATTTTAATTGTCATTTCTTCATCAGAAAACAATTTCGTCTGCTTTTTATCATGTGTTACTATTTCTGTTCAATCGGACACACATGGATATTAACGAATAAACTTGAATAACTAGACACACACGATCAATAATAATTTACGGGAATTCTTACTTTGATTTTTCATCATTTTACAATACGTTTACATGTATTTATTTTTTTATATTTTATTTACAATACATGGGGATTACACTGCATTTCCGGTTTAATAGTCCCTATTCATAGAGTTATGTCCCTGTATTATATAGTATAATGAATTGTGTCTGAGTAGTTCGAGAAGAAAATGTCAAATGAAGAATTCAGTTTTCTTTATAAAATTTTATTTGACATTTTATACACGGTGAAAGTGTTGAGAAAGCCTACTAGTTTTCAAAATGTGGATAAATCTTTGTGTCATTATCCAAAATGACAGGCATATTAATGATTCGCAGTTACTGCAAATCAAAAAAGTTAGATTTTAATTTCTGATTAGCAACGGACAAAATATGTATCGCACTGCTATACTGGTTGTCAGCAGCCCTGTGTGGATGGTGGATTAAATGATGGGACGGGGCGATATGATAAAGATATTACCTGGTTATTGTATTGTTGAGGTGAATCTGGAATGATACCTCTATATTGACCAGATAAACTACGCATATGTGACTTTTTAGGTGGAGGAGGAAGTTGACCAGCACCAGACGATTGACCAGGTTTTATATTACTACAATTAAATATTAAATATCATTCAATTACAAACAATAATCAAATTTCCTTAATAACCACTTTTATTTTTGTGATGAACAATCAGCAAGCTTGTACATTTAAGGCATTATCAAAATTACAGTTAATTGTACAAATCAGGAACTGAATGAGGGTGAATTTGATATGTGTCAGATTTTAACTAAGATAGTGCTGGGTATTGTCACAATATGATTGGTATTACGATCCAGGTGCTACAATACGATTTGTATCACGATTCATAACTAGGTCAGTATTTACCAAGAAATCAACAAGAAATAAAACTGTTTTATATCATGACATTGATGTGGAACAAAATAAGGACCAAAACAATTTGAGAGTGTGGATAATGTGTGATGTGGGTAATTAAGAGTGACAGTTTACTTACTGAAGCCACAAAAAAACATAAAACCAGCGGTTGCCAGGCAAGATACACCCACATTTTTCAAGAGATGGATAGAGAACAAGATAAAAACAAAAGCGTTTTTTCGTACAATCAGGGGCCATAATCAAGAAAGTTATGGTGTGAAATGCGCAAATATCGAAAGGGACCAATATCTTTGAGATATGTTTTAAGTTTCATCAAAATCGGATAAATATTGTGACCTCTAGAGGCTCGACAACCTTCGTATTAGTATTACATACTTTTACACAATTTGCATACAATGAGCAGCCATTTTGTCAGGCAGTTTAATTTCAAGTTTCCCGAAATTCGAATTCAACCTTCATTTTGGTGGAATGTGATTTATTTAAACAGTTTTTAAAATAAGGATAAAATTGTGACCTCTAGAGAATCAACAAGCTAAACAAGCCAACAGTGAGGCTGATGTCCCCCACCGAAATCCCAAAATAGATAGAGCAATCAAACTATACACTAAGTTTCATCCCTCTCTATCAGATAGAATCAGTATTATCTTGTCCCAAAACATCGACCACTGAAATTGATTAGCTCTGCTTAGCTTGAGCTCGAAATGTTAATCATTAAACTCAGTCAAGACATTCACCTGAAAGTCTTGACCAATCAAATTGCTTATTGCTCCTTAGCCTAAGCAGAAGCTTCTCACCATCGAACTTAGTCAAGGTAATGATATAACCAAGTGTGAACATTCCAACTCAATTATTATGAGAGTTATTGTGTTCCAAAGTCCCGAGCATGATGAGCAATCTAATTGCTTATCGCTTTGCTTACCCTGAGCAGAAAATGCTCATTATCGAAGTTAGTCAAGGTATTGATGTAATGAAACTAATGCTCATTATTGAAGTTAGTCAAGGTTTTGATGTAATGAAACTATACACCAAGTTTCATCACTCTCACTTATTTAGAACTAAAGTTATCATGTCCCAAAGCATCAACCAATCAAATTGCTTATCTCTGCTTACCCTAAGCAGAAAACGCGCATCTTCAAACTCCATCAAGGCATTGACCTAATAAACACACACACCAAGTTTGAACGTTCTAGCTCAATTTGAAGGAGAGTTATTGTGTTCCAAAGTCTTGGTCAATCAAATTGCTTATCGCTTTGCTTATCCTGAGCAGAAAATGCTAATTATCGAAGTTAGTCAAGGTATCGATGTAATGAAACTATACACCAAGTTTCATCACTCTCACTTAATTAGAACTAAAGTTATCGTGTCCCAAAGCATCAACCAATCAAATTGCTTATCTCTGCTTACCCTAAGCAGAAAACCCACATCTTCGAACTCCATCAAGGCATTGACCTAATAAACACACACACCAAGTTTGAACATTCTAGTGCAATTAGAAGGAGAGTTTTGTGTTCCAAAGTCTAGGCCAAACAAATTGCTTATGGCTTTGCTTACCCTGAGCAGAAAATGCTAATTATCGAAGTTAGTCAAGGTATTGATGTAATGAAACTATACACCATGTTTCATCACTCTCACTTAATTAGAACTAAAGTTATCATGTCCCAAAGCATGAACCAATCAAATTGCTTATCCCTGCTTACCCTAAGCAGAAAATGAGCATCTTTGAACTCCATCAAGGCATTGACCTAATAAACACACACACACCAAGTTTGAACATTCTAGCACAATTAGAAGGAGAGTTATTGTGTTCCAAAGTCTCGGCCAATCAAATTGCTTATCGCTTTGCTTACCCTGAGCAGAAAATGTTCATTATCGAAGTTAGTCAAGGTATTGATGTAATGAAACTATACACCAAGTTTCATCACTCTCACTTAATTAGAACTAAAGTTATCGTATAAACATGTATTTCAAGTTTCATCAAAATCAGATCCACAACTTTAATTTGGTCCGATTTTCTCGAAATTCAAACTCAATCGACATTACTGTGTAAAGGTGATATATTCAAATGGTTTTTTAAATCGGATAATAAAGTGACCTCTAGGCTAAACTAAAAAACATGATTTTTCGTACAATCACAGACTATAATTCAGGAAGTTACAATCCGATATGCGCGAATATAGAAAGGAACCACGATCTTTGGGTTATAAACATGCATATCAAGTTTCATCAATATGATGAAAATTTTGTCCACAAGCTAAAAACGTGATTTTTCGTACAATCAGGGGCCATAATCCTTGAAGTTATGGTCCGATACATGCCAATATCGAAAAGAACCAAGATCTTTTGGAGACAGACCTATAGTTTCGTCAAATTTGGATAAAAATTGTAACCTGTAGAGTGTCCACAAACAAATTGTAGACGACAGACGGACAGGGGCGACGGCATAATACGCCCACATCAAAATAACATCAAAATATGGGCGTATAATAAAGAAGCGCAATACATCGTGATTCAATACGTGAATCATTAGAAGGTGAGTCGCGATACATCGATTCAACGATATATTGTACCAGCACTATAAAGAATGACAGTTAAATATTAGCTAACAATTATTTCTTAATCAACAAGTAATAATTAACTGTTTATAATTAGAATAGGTGACATTATATTCCCAAGAACACACATTTGAAGTAAAGAGTCTAGTTTCAAACTTTTTCCTAAATCCTTTTACAAGCTAACATGTTTTCCAAAACGGATATTTCAAGTTTAGTGAATAGTTATGTTTAAAGGGAAGGAATAATGATTATTTGAAAGCTAGTAATAATTATCAATACTTACATCTCATTATCAGTCTCTATACATTGAGGAGTCAATTTCTTTTCACCAGCTGAAGAGAAAACAGTTACATTTATTTGATTAAAACTGAATCATACTAATGTTGATCATATAATAATGAATTTCAGGTTTTGTGAAAAAGGAAATTAATTACACTATACTGCCAATCATTATTCCAAGTATCCATTTTAATTGGCTACAGGTTGGCTAAAATCCTTCCAGCAAGTTGAGATGTTATTCTGTAGATCTGTTTTTTTTTCTTTGTCTGGGGTATATCTCTGTCACTGCTGCATCAATCTTGACCAAGCTATGATATGGTTGTGCACCTGTCAGCCAAAAATTTCTAGCTTGAAGTTCCACTACAAGGTCCTCCCTACTAAACAAACTATACATTTTTGGAAAGCGTTTAACACTAGGAATTTTCATCTGGTCCTAAATCGAGATATTGCAAACATTTTGCTTGGAACTCTCTGGGTTTGTGTTTTGAGTGTTATAAGCTTTCCAAAAATGTATAGTTTGATTAGTAGAGAGGACCTTGTAGCAGAACTGTGTTTCTAAGCAAGCTAGAAATTCTGGCTGCAGGCCTATTTTGGTTGCTCCATAAATGGATTGTTTTACTTTTGGGTTTAGCTTCTAGCTCTCACACAGTACTCCAACTTTTGTCCTGATGAATTCGACCTATTTTGACATGGCCAGGGGTCAAACATCAAATAGTGTAAAATGTATCTCCTTCTAGAGATCTGATCCTATGACTTTCACACTTTAACGTAATTTGCTACTGAAGGGGCTTAACAATCAACAGAAAATTAATTTTTCAATTTCACCATACTTACAAATGGCACTTGTCCGAATTGTTTAAAGCAAAACTACCCAACTTTGTCTAAAGAACTTGGCGGTCAAGGGTCGATTTATTACAATTTTCTCTGTTGCTGTCGGGATGTCATGTCCACGTGTCGTCATATTTTCCTGCGAAATCATTGGAACTGGTGACGTCACATCTTGATGACGTCACTTCGTATCTTAGCATCTAAAACCCCTTAAACTGTTAGATTTGGTTTTGATGGAATAGTGTGAGACTGAGGAAGTGAATAAATCTTTATGTGTTTTAAACTGTTTCTTATTCATACAATTCATTAGTTACTAAGGTTTAGGGTTCCCAGGCCAATGATTGGCGCTGCATCGATTTAAACATTTCAGCCCATGATCCTTCATAAAATTTAAACCTAAAATATCGATATTTCAGGAGTACATTTTATTTTTCTCACCTTTTAGTAACTATTACACACAATCTAATGAAATGAAATGAAATGAAATGACGTCCTACTGTTCTGCTCCTAACCTGGGCTAATGAAGGCGGGCATACGCCATACAGTGTGCTATGAGGGAAATTTTGCCCGGACAGCGGCACTACGGCCTACTCTTATATCGAATTCCAACTGCCAAGGGATCTTTTACGTGCACGCCAATGTGTACACGGGACCTTGGTTTTTCGTCCCATCCGAACGACTAGACAGCTTTCCATGTCAGCCCCTCCGTCCTGCATCACTGACAAGGGAGAACCACGCCGGAAAATCTGGATGAACTTTCTCGGCCAATGCAGGGATCGAACACCCGACCTCCAGGCTAGCGAGCTAGCGTCTTACCCACTTAGCCACGTGATCCCCAACAATCTAATGTGAACTTACCTTATCAAACTGTTGTATTGAAAAGGTGAGAGTGCCCATTGATGGAGGCTTTGAAAAGCTTTATAATATTCAATAAAATAATTTTCTTTGCCCTTAGCAAAGACTGTTTTAGTTTAATTAAAATTGATATTTGTATTTAAAATATTACATCTCTTTATATGGAAAAACAAACTTACTTACCTTGATCATTAGGTTTAAGATTAAATTTTGGTAAATTCAAATCAGTACCTACAAAAGAGAACAAGGCAAGAATATATACAAGCAAATACATATACAGTTATCTTATAGTACAAATTGGTCACAAAGAATATATGACCACATTGGTGGGCATTGGTAATCCCTTCATGGACAGCAAAGCTGCTTGCAGTGTCATCATTTAGTTAACCTAACAAGTACTTGTGTGACACCCTTCAGAAACATCAAGGCTCAAAAAAATCCACGAAAGTATTTATAGGGCATAGAGACACCCAATCTTATTAGAAAAATACTAAATTCCCTGGAAAATGCCCACGAGGTGCGCACAGGACAAAAATATAAGGGGTCACGTCCGAAGCCTGTCCATTTGATGTTTGCTTGAATGACGTAGAAAGCACTTGATTTGATTGGATGGCTAGCAGTTGTTAGAACAGTGTAAGACTTAAACATATTGCAGACTTTGCAATTAATTCAGGAAAAAAAGTCTTAGGCTTCGATATCTATGGACAGTCAGTAATGACAAATTGTAGCCTACAAGCTGAAAATGGACCCTCCTCTCAATCAAATCATGTGACAAACAAGGCTACCTAAAATATAATTTTACAGCTTGGTGTAGTTTTTGGTCATAATTAAAATAATTTTGTTTTTGATCAACAAATATAATGCTGTGCCATAGGCCTTCTCTTGAACACAAGTTTATTGGCCAGTATTTTCATCATAATCCTCAAGAGTTTTTCTTTTTTGGTTCATGGATTTTGTGACATAGCTAAATCAATCCATCTGTTCCGACAAAGGTTTACTCACAGTTGACTTTTTGATAAAGTTCAATAGATTACAAGTATACCTGTATTAAGACTTTCTATTTTCAGTGGAAAACCAGACTGAACAGCAGCTATTAACTTTAACGCAATGTAAAACTGACTTCTTCCAAAGTGTCCTAAACGTTTGGCTCCACACAGTTCAGATATCTGAAAAAGAAATAACTGATTAAAGAATTTTTTAAATTTTGTTATCAAATCCTTTAATTAATAATTGTTAAACACTGACATGTAACTTTACAGATGCAACATGTAAAAGCTATATCTGCCTATTGCATGCCTCTTGTTTTGCATCAAATTTTATATAAATTATTAGACATTTATTTACATGACAGGCCAATAATCAACTCTCTAAACCATCGGATGGTTTCGATTGTGAATGGACTGAAACATGATACCCTTTTAATAATTCAATTTATAAATGGATAATCAAGACTTTGTTTATTAACGTAAAAATGGTACTTGACAATTGAGACTATATAGTGAAAACCTCTCAAAGGCTGACATTTCCAATCAGAATAAGGTAATTTGTCAGAAATTTGTAGCAAGAAAAGCCAACTCTTTATCTAAGTCTTACATAATGCATCTTTAAATCTTATCTGTTGATACAGTTTGTGGGTTTAAGTATGCAAATCAAACACCATAAAACATAATGAAACTGCCCATTTACCCTTTCTTATAGTTTCATCTCAAAACTTTGAACAATTCGAAGATGGGAGTCAAAATTACTCCAAAGTTTATGCAATTATTTATGTACAACTCAGAGTATATTAAGATAACAAATATTTCCACTTTTTAAGTGTGTAAATTAAGCTGGACTACAACACACCAAGAGAGAGAGAGAGAGAGAGAGAGAAATGGGGTTTAACGTCCACTCCACACAAACTAGGTCATTTCGGGACTAACACATGGTTTAATTTTATTTTAATGATTCGTTTGCGCGTAGGGGTCTTTAGCAGTGGGAGGAAACCGGAGGACCTGGAGAAAATCCACGAGGTTGGACAGGCGATCCTACTCCTTGTCTCGTACTACCAGGGAATCAAAACTCTGCCAGTTGACTCAATGACAGACCGTATGATAAAGCGCAGCGCGCACGTGCTAACCATTTGGCCATCCACCCCCCCTCACACCAATAGACTTCTAGACATTATTATCCAGAAACTTTGTCAGTTTTGAAACCTGTCGTTGACACACTTGAAACCTCAGACTTTGAAAAATTATCTCAGAGCTTTAGAAAATTGTACGGGAATAGGTTCTAGGAAAAAATACATCGATGAACCTTTAAAGGGAATTAACCAATTATTTCTATCTACGTACTAATATACAAGTGGAACTGCTCCTTTATACAAAAGTGAACCCTGAAGGATTAAAGATCACTTTAACATCAACACAGATTAGGACATTCAGCCTTCAAGGATAACAGACGAACATGTAAAACAACATGTATATAAGTGGATACATGGTCCTAAAGGGCATCATATAATTTACTTAAAGTAGCTACTAGTTAGACATCTTAGATAGGGTAATAAATAAAATTGTAATTTCCTTAGTTTTTATGTGCTGAGTGAGATTTGTTTTGTGGAGATGACAAATTTTGGTCTCTGGGTAAAGTTACTTGAAATATACTTATAACCAATTTTGTGTTCCAATGTCAACACTATAAACCAAAATTTAAACTTGTAAATGAGAAATATTTTGCTTAATATGATGAAACAAACATTTAATCATATATAGAGAATTCCCCATCACAAATCCAAGTGAAATAATTCAAAACTTTTGACCACAATCAAAGAGGTTTACCGCCTTTAAATGTGAAAAAAAAACTGACTTAAGTTTTTCAGATGTTTCATTTTATTTATTTAAGTTCAATACTGTTCTTTTTACAATTAAATTTTCATTTGATAGAGAAAGGAAAATTTAAATGGTTAACAGTTGAAATCTAGATTAGTTATTTTCGAACCTAATAAATATTAGCCATGACCTATAATGTATGACCATACTATTATTAATCAAAGGAGTCGCTCCATATATCTTTTGGTGAAGAAAACTTTATAATTATGTGTAAAAGATTCCCAGAAACTTTCATCCTAGTCTGGTGGACAGATTTGGGAGAAAAACATTTTGGATTTGTATGTGTTGTTGATTTTATTACCGTAGTTCACAATTCAACGCTATAACCAATTGCCTGGATAACCATGTCTACAAGTACATACTTGACCAGGTCATTGTAATAAGTGATCTAACTAGTGAAATTTCCTAAATGAGAGAGATACTGAACCAACCTTCAGGTAATCGGGGCAATATGGTTTACATACTCACACTGTCACAGAGGTGGTTTTATAGAGGGCTATTGGATTAAATGAAAAGTGGTTTAATGTCCTTTTTTTCTTCACCAACAGGGCTTATGAAGATGGGAAGGATAATTATGTACACATAGTCCATGAGCACTTTTCAGCCAAAGAAGCTCTGTCATTCTACGAAATTGTAGGTTGTATTTTATCGATTGTATAAAAACACTACCCAGGAAAACCATCTCAAACTCTCACTTAAGGGTTCTTTTACGAGTATGCCCATATGTAAACAGGTTAGGACCTTGATTTTTTTGTCCCGTCTGAATGACTAGCCACTGCTCCTTGCCAGGCCAACTACACTGGAAAATCCCCAGGTACTTTCTCGGCCAACCCCAACCAAACTCAATGGCAAAATTTATTTTCATCCATTTGAAAAGGCAACAGTATTAAATTCATACTTTAAATCTGTTACAAAACTAGATACCTTGCGAGAATAACCCTCTTCGATGCACGCTTTGGTATCACAATGAATGAATTTCTCGTAACTGAACAAGAGGTTGAAGATCAATTAAAATACTAAACTCTTCAAAGCTTCCTGGACCAGATGAAATCAGCCCATTAATTCTAAAAAAACATATCCTTCAAAGATATGGAAAACTTCATGTGTCACAGCCGCTTTTAAAAGGAAGGGTGATCCACAATTACCGGTACCAGAAAATTATCGCCCCATTAAAACATAACCATCAACAATGTTTCAATCTGAATATTTCCAAAGAAGCATCTGTACTAGTTTAGTAAGCTTTCTAAACAAATCAACTTACAGTTCAGATAATTAATTAAAGATAGTCATGAAAAGCATGGAAATAAGCCCATATAGCAGCTATGTCTCCACAGCAGCTTATCCAAAAGGAAAACTTGGATGTTGACCAAATTTAAAAAAATCTATTCTCTATTGAGTTCACAAGCTTTTCAAGACACAATGCTTCACACCAAATTTGAAAAGCAATAGGGTTAATTTATTCAAAGTCCTAATTTCTAATGCTTCACATAAACATTTGGAATAAAAAAAAATACTTTAAAACTTGTAGGGGGGGGGGGGTATTCCGGAACTGATGGTCGCAGAACACTGTATATCAATAGTGTTTGTCCTCTTATGAACCCGATACTTCACACCAAATCTGAAAGACATCTGTAGTAGCCTCTATCGCTTTAACAAGGTTTTTGACAAAGGGGAGGGAACTCAGGAACTGAAAGTTGCAGAGCGCTAAAAATTAATCAGATTCATCCTCTCATGACCTCAATGCTTCACACAAAATTTTAAAACCACCTGTTAAAAACTGTAGCCCTTATCGCATTTGACGAGGTTTTCGGCAACGGGGTATAACTCTGAAACAGAGTGCTGAATATCGATAGTATCCACCTTCTCAAGACCGAGATGCTTCACACAAAATGTGTTAAAAACTGCAGCCTCTATCCTGTTAGCAAGGTTTTCAGAGAAAGGACAAAACTCAGGAACTGATGGTCGCAGAGCGTTTAATATCGATAGAGTCCATCCAGGCCACGAAATTTCACGCGAATGATACCAATCGGTTACGTGCGGTCGCCCACCTCAAAAACACGCGACCGATTTCCTGGTTACGCAAATTGAAATATCGGTTACGTTAACAAATTTCATTAACAGATTTATTCACATTTGATCAATTTTTATACAGGATGACTTGTGACACAGGTCTAAATTATTTGTATTATAGCACAAACTCCATTCATTCATTCTTGGCATTTCATTCCTCCATCTTAGAGGTACTTTGACAGATCACGTATTTTGACACCACGTAGGCTATTGACCAGTTGCAAGCAGGTTGATTTAAAAATGCCCCTCACCCCTAATTCTTTAAATGATTATATGCCATAAATATTTGAAAGCGCACCTTTGGATTTTCAAACACAAAATGAGAAATGAGTTTGACTATTTAACATGTCAGCTATATTTCCAAAGAATTTACTACACGTGTTCCTTTCAGTTTTCACTATAGCCATGCTGTAGTACCAATGACCCGTATACTATGTATGTCGTCAACTTTGACCCCCTCCCCTGCATCGCTCCAGCGATAATGTAAACTATTTTACTGCCCTGTCTATTTTAATATTATTTCATGGCATCAAACTATTCTGTTTCCTTTTGAGACTTTGTGTATAGAGTGCCGAGGTTTATAAATACTGTTTGTCAATTAGTCACTACCTATGAGTGAGGCTATCTCATGCTACGTGCTTGGATGAATGATTGCAAGTGACAAGTGTAATATGAAGTACGCATGTAGTCTTCAGTGACCGAAAACAATGCGGTAGCTACCATTCCTGGTTTTTGAAGGTCAGATATGATACAAAAACGAAAATCCATTAGTAATTTTTAGAACCGATTCCCCTCATTATTAAAATGTATAGGGATTTAGTGAAGTGGAACATTTTTTTTTCGAACGTTTTATTTTTTAAATGGGGACACCGTGGGATTTAAGTCATAAACACTTAACCCCAAATATAATATTAAATATAAAAGAATATAAATTAGTCAAGTTATTTCTTTAAAAAAATACATTCACTGCAAGTGGAAATGAATAATAGCACCATTTAAATCTGGATAAAACATGAAAGCAGCGCAACCATTTTATGTAACCAATTGGTTAAAGTGGTCATCTGAGCATAAACCTGCAACCATTTTTCTGGTTACGCTAAAATTTGAAATTTCGTGGCCTGCCATCCTCTCATTAACCCAATGTTTCACACTAATAATATCGATAGTATCCACCTTCTCAAGACCGAGATGCTTCACACAAAATTTAAAAGAAATGTGTTAAAAACTGCAGCCTCTATCCTGTTAGCAAGGTTTTCAGAGAAAGGACAAAACTCAGGAACTGATGGTCGCAGAGCGTTGAATATCGATAGAGTCCATCCTCTCATTAACCCAATGTTTCACACTAATAGTTGACAGAATCCATTAAAAACAAGGTTTTCGGATACGAACTACAGGTCCTCTTATGAGCCCAATGCTTCACACCAGACATGGGTGATGGTACATGTATAATACTCCCAGGAGTGAAGCATTTTTAGATGAGTGAATTATTAGAGAGAAATTTTATTTATTTGATTGGTAAGTTAAGTATAAGCTAATCTTGATAAATAAACACCAATTACAGATTGTGCAAAATGGAAGTTTGTAATCATATTGCTCTTTGATTCATGTGTATCCTGTCCAAATCTATTCTCCCAGTCTCTGATAGATGTTGACACATATTTCCCACATATTCAGACATACAAATCTTTGTTTTCAATTTTATCATAACAGTAATACAGATATTCTCATGAAATCTGGAAGATCTGTTAGTGCAAATAAAATTTCATACAGTGGTAAAATCTGTAGGTTTTGTACAGAAAATAGCCTTTAAGTACCTGTGTCTTTCAGTACCTGTGTCTTTCAGCCAACAGCAAACCCTTCCATAAATGATGGATGCCCATGGGTGTAAAAATTATGTTTGGATTTATGCAAACATTCAGCTTACGATGCAGGGTCAATGTTTGGGGGGTTTACTGTAAAATCCTTGAAAGATCGGGGGGGGGGGGAAACCCCAGTGCAAATACTTTTGTCCATACTTAAGCGAACATCTGTATACATGTAGCTATCAGTATCAAAGGCTGCAAAAAGAGTCAGAAGATTTGGGCGATCATATCCTTGACCAATAAGCAACTGATTGTGTGCAGACTATAGGCATAACCCAAATAAATCTGTGTCTAATTTAATATTCATGTAGGGCTAGGTCACAGTTTGAGTTTGAAATATATATTGATCTGGTCGTGGATGTTCAACCGAATCCGAAATGAAAATAATGTTACCTGTTGCTTTTTTGAGGTAGGGACTATAAGAATGGGTCAGGTGGGGTTTTACTGACTACAACAGGGTTGGGGTTTGATCTGTTTTTGGAGCTATTGTATAATTCAACAAACAGAGGCTGGTTTCTGAAATTGGGAACCTGACACCTAATTCACATGATAATATCCATCAATTGGGTATTAGGCTCAGTTATTTAGTTTGTAGGCAGTTTGTAAAACCAGATCCGATTCTATAACCACTTTTCAATTAATAAATTACATTTGACATTTCTGATTTCATTTACATTTCATATCCATTCCATTTAAATTTGAAACCAGAATTTCATTAGCTATAATAATAATAATAATGAACTACATATATTATTGTTGTCTTAATTGTCAATATACCTGGATGAGCGCATCTTGTCCAAGACCTGACCCTCGAAATAGTTCAGATGCCTTTAAACCGGTAATCTTTCCTGTGCCATCTGAGTCACACGCCTGAAATAATTCTCCGTAACATTGCAGCTCAGAATCACTAAGTTTTAAGCCTTCCATACTTGTTTTGGTTGAAGATTACTTAAACCTAAAATACCTTGTTTCGAAAATAATCATGTATATAAAGATGTCAACAACTAAATGTCTGGCAGAGTAGCAAATTTATAAATGAAACAAGTTGAATAATAAGTAACCTATCGCACAAGCCTCCATCTTTAATCGATTTCTCGGTCAATGTCAGACACGATGCACCGCTTACTATTAATTATGAACATTTTTATATCATAGTTAAATTCAAGGAAAAATAAAAATATAGTGGTAAAATTGTCGATAGAATTATCCAAATTCTACAGACCCTTATTTTAAAATCTTTATTATTACTTAACATTTTGAGCCTTCATGAAAACAGGCATCATGTTTTGACCTAATTCTAATTATATTTTTTTGAAGACGTTCTATTTTATTATTAATAATAGTTTTGTTGTTTTGTTTTGGTTTTGTTCTAGAAAATTCGCATACACTACTCCCGTCTTCCCTATTTTTTTAAAAATAACAAATAAAATCATTATTTTTGCGCTGAATGTTAATAGACTCAGTCAAGTCAAACAGCTTGGATAACCGGGTCTATACAAGACCCATTTGTAGTTCATTTGATTCCCCAAAGAAACTTTAAAGAAGCTTTAAGCGTTTTGAAGGTGAAAAAAAAATCCGGAAAAGCTATATAGCGCCTGGTCAGTTAATATATTGATCTTCTGTCTGCTATAGCACCATAGGTGAAAGCGGGCATTAAGCTCTACAAGAAGAAGAAGAATAACATCCAGCTTTTTTTAAAATAATATAAAAGCGGGACAGCCATAACCATACCAGCGAAAACAAGCCAGAGCTTACGTAAATTCATTACCCGTAAGAAATTATTTACAGAAATATGAATACATTAATCATAAATTAAAAGATTTAATTTACGAAGAGCGATATAGCTCCTTTAATATGAAGAGCATAAGAGCATAATTGATGTTACGGAAGATCTGTTAAATGCAAATATTCATCCGCTAGAATATATATGTACCTATAAGATGAGCCAGGACCAGAGTTATTTTTTTAATGCTGTTAGGAGAATGGGTATGTTCTTGGGAATTCTATTTCTGTGAAAATAAAATTATTGTCATTCATAATTTAAGGCCGCCTTCCTGTGGTTAATTAGCGATGTAGGAGCTAGTGGATGTGGTGGAACTGGTAACATTGTTGCCAGGGATGATACGGAATTCATCCATGAAACCATAACATGTTATGTTCCACCAATAACAGGGACAGAAGAAGTAAACTTAGATATCAGTTTCTATTTTAGAAGATCTTTAGATTCTTTATATATTCTTGTTTATGTGGTTATATGATAAGAAAAATTTCTCCTAAATTAGCATGTAATATTTGTAAATTTTCTTTTGTATCTGTGAATCCTGAAAGTCATAATTCTTATATTCTTATGTGTCCATATTCCCTCAAATGGGTTATTTTTATAGTGTGTTATGAAATCTTCTGAAAAGCGCATCAGAAGTTTGACTAGTCTTAAAAAGTCTTCCGGGAAGATTTTTTCGTTGGAATTATCCATATAGTTAAATCACAAAATTTGCCAGAGAAAGTAAAAGAATGAGGGTCCATGGTGTCGAAAGCGGCAGATAAATCTAATAAAATATAAAATGTACATTTTCTATTATCAATTTCAAGTAAAATATCATTTGAAACACAGGTTAAAGCTGTTTCCGTACTGTGAATTGGTTATAAGCACTTTGAAATGGTTCATATAAACAGTTATCGTCTAGATGAGCCTTTATCTGAGAAGGAATACATATTTCTCCAATATTTTAGAAATAAAGATTATAGACTAGAACGATCATGATAGGGCAGTATCTGTATCATTATTAAAATAATCAACTAACAAAAATAAAAAGTTTTAAAATAATGTTAGGCCTAATAACACTCCCTCTTTAAAAAAAACCCCACACGCAGCTTTACCTCATTCGAAACATTATTATAGTCGCTTTAATCTTGCGGAAACTTTTGGTCTAATAATCTGCCCCGCGCGCTTAGTGACGCGATTATCCAGACAAGAGTGAATAGACCGGATAAACAAAATTTGTTGCGAGACTATAATTTTATTTGGCGCGAGATATCCCATGTTGTATTTCATTGTATAAAGAGTCGGTTATTAGCCGTTTTAATATTTTGTGTATTATACATTCATGATGACGGAGAAAGAAGAAGGAGGTAATATTGAAAAGCGAGCTTATGCCGTATTGTTAAACGTAAAAGTTATTTCGTTGCCTTGGCATGTATCCAATTCAGTCAGGATAAATAAATTCTGGCTTCCGCCCCACTCAGTCGATGAACGAAGAGTGAAGACCAAGGAAGGGTCAACAACTAAGTTATTTTAAAGGGACAATCCAACTTTTGTTTTGCAACTACTTCGATGACACCTGATTTTTAAACCAGATTCATAAACGGGCAGGACGATTTAACCAAACCTAACCACACATATTATTAGCCTACATCATTATGATTATTGTGAAAACTGATATCCAATTCAAATTGGCATTGCAATTTTTATTATCATCAATCAATTAATATGTAACAGGCATTGCCTGAGTAGAGCAAAGCTGATTTGATTGCTGTTAAATATAAAACCTTCATAATTAAGTTTCTCAAGTGATACAAGTAATGTTAAATGATCTCGTTTTTCCGAATTTAATTTAATTTAGATCTAAATTGTATGATTAATTTTGTTAAAAAAAAAAAAAAGAACAAAAAAGTGTAAGAATTATTTTCATTGACATCAGAAATATGTGACGTCATTGAATAAACGTGTCATAAAAATATTTCTATGGGTCGCGTAATCTCGCCTCGGCGAGATTTGGTGAGTTGGCATGTGCATTGCCATTTTTGCCCAGTGTATCCAGTTCCGGTCTGAATTTTTTTTAATCAACAGTCTGTGGGTGACATTTTAAATTACGCTCCTGTGTTACCGGAAAACGCGGTGCTTTAGAGCTTCGCTCTATTATAGAATGATTTAATCAACAAAAAATGTGTTAATTCACGGAAAACATGTACAGTAGAATCTGTATTAAGCAGCCACTCCAGGGAATTTGCATGACTGACCGCTTAACGGGAGTGACCTCTTTAATAAAATCTCAGTGTTTGTTAATGCTGACATAAAGTAAATGTTACGTTTGGATGCATTGGGAGCAAACACGAATACTTGCATCGGTAAATTGGAACGAAAATCCTTTGACTCAAATGTCTGATATAACGTGTCATTTTGTACCAATATTGATACTACTGTCTACCATTGTGATGTATTCGATAATATTTATCCATTTTTGTAGCAACACAGTGGCAATGGAAAATAGATACTAGATGATCGTGACAAAACTCGGCTTTGGCGGTACTTTTAGTTTATTCAATCTTCGTGTGAAAACAATGATCAGCAGATTGGGTTTGTCATTTAATAAAACAAAAGATTAATTAACAGATAATCCCGGGTTTATTGTTATTTTCACAGTTCTTTTTAAGTGATTGGTGGGGGACCAGGTAATTACCTATTAATCCCAGGATTAGTGGAGTGGCTACGAAGTTAACGATGTACGACAAGATGGCATCAATCAACAATGGCCGTTGAATTGGCGATGTTTTGTTAAATTTATTAGTAAAATAGTGACCGCTGGCCGCCTTAGAGGAGTGAGTGTGACCGTTGATTAAAGAGATAAAACAATGGAATTTTTACGGGGGGAATTTATCGTGACCGCTTACAAGGAGATGTCGCTGAATAGGAGTGGCTGCTTGTACAGATTCTACTGTATATAAGTGTCAATATGTTGCCATTCCCCTTATGATTTACCCCAGTTATCTCACTTGTTTTGCATCTACTTCGATGTTACTTGTGGTTTTGAATCGTTATGCAGAGATTCATGAACCAGTACTAATCACACATGATTATTGTTTAAAATTGATATTCAGTTATTACATCAATAAAAATGTGTTGAGATTCACAGAAAACTTGCAAACATGTATGACAAATGTTAATGTCTTGCTATTCCAGTTTTGATTCGGTAGCACAATTTTAATACCCAAATCCACAATTATTTCAACTCCGATAATACATGTACATGTAATAATTGTCCCCCACCTTTTGAAAGCAGAAATAAGCAATTTGATTGGTTGATGCTTTGGGACACAATAACTTTAGTTCGAATTAAGTGAGAGTGAGGAAATTTGGTGTATAATTTTATTACATCAATACCTTGACTAAGTTCAATAATGAGCATATTCTGCTCCGGGTAAACAATTTGATTGGTCAAGACTTTTGGAACACAATAACTTCTTCTAATTGAGGTAGAATGTTAAAACTTGGTGTAGATGTTCATTAGGTCAGTGCCTTGATGGAGATCGATGATAAACATTGTATGCTTACAGTAAGCAGAGATAAGCAATCTGATTGGTTGATGCTTTGGGGCACAATAACTTTGGCTATAATTAAGTGAGAGTGATGAAACTGAGCATAGATTCATTATATCATTACCATGACTAAGTTCGATGATGAGAATTTTCTGCTTAGACTAGGTTTGGAAGACGTGGTGACAATGCTTGGATAAAAAGGCTTCCCATAGCCAATTTCAAAGTCATTTGCAACGCTTTCAACGGAAAAATCATGTTTGATGCTCTTCAACTTTTTAGATATAAGTTCTTTATCATTAATTGTTAATTCATAACTGAACAGTGATAGCGGAGTTATTACCCCAACAAGATACCATAGATGGCGGTTCAGTGCATTTAGAGATGTTTAAAAATATGCATCACCATTACTTCACCTACGAGAGAGTAATGGTCTCTCTGTTGAGTATGTCATGGATGCTGAGCTGGCACAAGCTGTGCTAACATGCCCAGTGTTTGCTAACGTCGTGTCAAAGACCATACTCACAAAGTTATCAGCACATTGACAGTTTTCAAGTAATTCATACATAAGGTTAAAAAGAATCGTGGCAAATTGCTAATCGGTACTAGGTAAATATGATGGAATCCCTAAAAGTTTGACTTCATTCTGGTCACCAACTAGAACTGCCACTCTTCCTACCTTTTCATTTTTATCTGTTAGAGTAGGTAATTGTTTCCCATCCCAGCGGAGAGGTGCGAACTCCGCAATTCCCTGACACTTTCGCTACTTCACCACCCACTATTCTCCTGCACATGTCACTCTTAAGAATAAAAAGTACTAACGTTTTGGTATATGCAGCTTGTTGAGACAGAGTCATCCTCATTCTAGCTGCCATGGAAACTAACTTTGGAGAAGACATTACATCCTGACGGACAAAGTGTTCTGTACTAGTTTTCTTCTTCCGTTTATAAGTATGAAGTTCTGGTTTGGGAATAAACGAAGAAAGCGATCTGTCGTCATCACTAGAACTATCGCAGACTTGATCTCCTGATATGGGAATTTGTGGGGATCTGGTTAGCACAAACATTTTTAAGACTTAAGTTGTCTAGACCACTTGACTAAATTAAAATTTTGTGTCCTTGTTTTCAGCAGTTATATCTGAAGGTTATGATGATGCAGTGGAGGAGAGAGTTATTAATGAAGAATATAAAATATGGAAGAAAAATACACCCTTTCTGTATGATTTGGTTATGACCCATGCATTGGAATGGCCTAGTTTAACAGCCCAGTGGTTACCAGATGTTTCAAGGTTTGAATGATTATTCTAGTGCTTTATGGAGATCTTACCCAGACCCTGGTTGGTAAAAAGTATGTTCGATTTGACTGCACAGCCAGTTACATACATGTATCTGGCATCAGCTTCAAATTAGAATTTAATCAAGATCTGAGACAAGTCTGTCAAACTTCCTCTGAGACATGTTAGAACTTTAAATTACAAATGTGGTGTTGGATCCCGGTGTTGGTGGTGACAGTTCCCTGTTATTTTCAAGCATGGTTTCCCCCCCCCCCTCGTCAATTGTGCTAGACAGAGAGTCTGGCAAGGAACAGTGTCTAGTCGTACGGATATGACAAAAAAACAAGGTTCTGTTTAAATGAACCCTTGACAGTTGGGATTCAAAAAAAAGAGTCCATAGCACCACTGTCCTGGCAAAATTCCCCTCAAAGCACACATATGCCTGTCGTCATTAGCCCTTTTGATGTCGAAAAGTAGGGCAGTAATCTCCATTTTATTTCCCTGATATAGTCTATTTTCACCAGTTTATTTTCTTGTTGAGGGTGATAATACCTTTTTTAATTTTACATGGTTTCCATATTTTGATTTGGAAGAAGTTTTTTTTAAAAATATTAAAATTATGTAAATTATTCTTTCAGACCTAGTGACAAGGACTACTCTCTACACCGACTTATTTTAGGCACACACACGTAAGTTAGATTTCATTATTTTACAACCTGTTTTCTCATCAGGGATGGTATACCGTACTCAGAAAAACACTTGACGCACACCATGTCTTTTTCTTGTTATCGATTTCTCTTTAGTGATGGTATGTTGTGCAAAAAAGTCTCTATCACCTTCATTGTTACATGATGATTCGCTTTATTTTATGATTGGTTTATACAAATATAAATATGATTATTAGGCTACACAAAATAAATGTCTTGTTTCTCGGGCAACTGACAGCTGAAACTGTAGGGGGGGAGGGCGGTTCATTTTTTTTTTTACCTCATTTCTGGCTAGAGGATGGTGCAAAATAAAGTTTGGCTATTGTTGAAAATTGTCGGGGCGGGAGGGCGGCCTTGTATTTTTTTAAAAAAATTTTTAATGAGAAAGTCATTACTTGTCTACGGTTTTGCTTTCAGTTATATATTATACATACTTAGAACATAAACCCAAAAATCAAGTCTACTCAAACACTGAACACTGACTGAAAGGAAAATAATTTTCCATATTTAATTCACGTAATATAGCTTACTAATGGTAATGGTGACAACCATAATTGAAATTGGTTTAAAATAAAATTCCGTACGACTATTAATAGCCGTCCATAATAACGACAATATTTTAAAGAGTAAGCCTCTGTCAGCATGTGTATCAAAAATAATCATCACGGTAAAGGACACTTAGATCTAAATCTAGTATCGCTGGTTTATAATGATTGACCTAATTCCAACCAATACGTGTCATCGGGATTCGGGAAATGACTGTTTCCCAGGATATTCGGTGTGTTTCTCAGGATATTCGGTGTTCTATCTGGGGTTTATATCAAATGACTATTTAAATTTAACTAACAACTGGTCAGTAAAACCATCAAATGTGTAATCCAATTATTATTTTCCGGATTATCAAAACTACCGTTAAATGTGCTAATGACCCAGATTCTGACTAAGGTATGGTGACTATCATCGTATCGTATTCGTAGCCACAAGTTATAATATTAACCTGTTCTACGATTCATTGTTTTATAAGTAGGATTTTTTCAAACATGGACCGACTGAAGCCGGCAATAATGAGCCGATTAAGATCGAATGATTGAAATACATTGCATTGTTGTCAGTGACTTTCGGTGTTTAACACGAATCAAATTCTAGTTCACAAGGGGAGGTAATTAAAATCATGTGATACAAAAATGGAGGTTCTTTCGATATCAATAAAAAGAGACCCGTAAATGAGCGTTTACATCTGAATCAGTTTAATACATTTGAATGGATATTCACGTATGGGGCATGTAGATACAGTACATGCGGCATATTCTTTTTATGACTTGCTTATCGATGCTCGGGCGGGCGTTACATATTTTTGATTTTTCATCAAAACTACTATATAGGCCGCACGCGCAACCAATTTTGCGTGCGGGCGGTGCCCGAGAAACAACTTATTTTATTTGTGTTGCCTTATCAAAAGTGGGATCTGGCATGTGCTGTAGATCATGGTCTGTTATGAGGATTAGTATAGTCTAACTCAGGGGGTTTCTTTGGGTAATCAAATAATATTCAAACAGATAAATGAATTTCCATTGATAGATTTATGACTTATAGAAATCTGAAAATCTACTAAAACTCTTAAAATTGAATATTTTAATCGAATGGAATAGTTGATTAACCAATTAGAATATTTGACCTAGACCCCTGCGCACAAGGGAATTATCGAAATAGAAATGTCCTACATGTATATTAGACAGAATATAACCAGGTTATGGTCAAGTGGATGTAAAACCCTATCTAATATATAAGAGTAGGCCGTAGTGCCGCTGTCCGGGCAAAATTTCCCTCATAGCACACTGTATGGCGTATGCCCGTCTTCATTAGCCCAGTTTGGAGCAAAACAGTAGGACGTTAAACCCCATTTCATTTCATTTTCATAGACTAATGATTATTTTCCCTTGATGGAACTTTACCAAGAAATAATCCTTGATGTGTGAAACCCTTCTGGTAACGCATGATTTACACTTGTATGAATAACTATGTTTTAATATTTAAATTTACAGATCAGATGAACAAAACCATCTCCTGATAGCCAGTGTCCAGCTACCAAATGATAATGTTCAGTTTGATGCATCACATTATGACAGTGAAAAAGGGGGTAATGATTAATTTAAATCTTGAGACAGATCTATTGGTTAGTGTTGTTATTTGTCAATGGAGAAGTTGCTATACAATGATGTAGGGTGTTTACTATAATATATGCCCCCATTCAAATAAGAAATATGTACTCTTATCAAGACAAACTATAAAGAAGTTATATATGGTTAATTCATTTTGTGTGTTTTAGAATTTGGAGGTTTCGGATCGGTCAGTGGAAAAATTGAAATAGAAATCAAAATTAATCATGAAGGAGAAGTCAACAGAGCCAGATCAATGCCACAGAATCCATTTATTCTAGCAACAAAAACACCATCATGTGATGTATTATTGTTTGATTACTCTAAACATCCTTCGAAACCAGGTGAGATATGGTATAATAACAATTAACATCTGTTTTCTTGTCTCTGTAACTGGAATATTAAATCTGCTCACAACAAGTAAATGATGAACTGTCATCCTAACATAAATTAAATCTATGGTATTGGTTTGTTGATTAATTAATGTTGATGGGTGAAAACTGTCTCACCTTATTTAAATTATAGCACCACCATTTATATACTTATAATTACTTATAATACAAACAGAAAAAAAAGATGATAGATTTATGTTATTGTCTTTATTGGTACCAGTATTATTTATAATGTTTAAATATCTGTGGATTGATGTGATATTTTCCAGGGTTCAATAAGAACTAACCAGGTGTTAATCAATTTATGGAAAATGCAAAGCATCCATCTTGTAATGGTATTGCAATATCATTGTGAGCCTCAGTACTCGGCCTCAAAATATATAGTTCTATGAATTTAATGTGACCATTTTATTTTATCAGATCCAAGTGGAGAATGTCATCCCGAATTACGTCTTAAAGGTCATCAAAAGGAAGGGTAGGTACATATGATATTTATAACTTTCTGTGTTTTAGCTGTATTTTATTTTACTAAAGACATTTGAAGAATGACCTATGTTTATTTTTTAGGTATGGTTTATCATGGAACCCAAATTTAAATGGACATTTACTCAGTGCTTCAGATGATCATGTATGTATGAACGTGGCATATTTCACTTAAAATAAACTAGATAATGTTAATAAGACATGTGATTGAGTTATAAGGGTACAGTACATATAGATGACCAAATATTTTTAAATAGTTATGAATTGTGATTATAAAACAAAAATTCTATTTATACCTGGTTGTTAAGGTCTGTCTTGTGTGGTTGTCATGACCATCATAATTAGAATAAGATTAGCTAACAGTTCAAGCAATACATTTTTTATCCCATGCCAAATGATGCTGGGAGCATAGATATTGAAATGAACTCCTTCCACCTGTCCCAAACTTTTGTTTCTGGAACCGTTGTACACACATTGATCTAATCTTGTATTTTTGCCGTCTGGTTATTAGAAATTTCTTGGTTAAATTGTTTTTATGTATCCATGAAAGTATGGTTGTGAAACTTGGCATACTCATTCCTAAACATGATCCAAGTTGATTTTGTTGCATGTGATGACGGACTTAGGTAAGAAGTTTGGCCCCTGTCTTTTCTAACCACTGAGATGTCAGTTTAAAACTGGAATGTTTTTTTTCTAGAAAAAACTTGAATTTTAAAACTGGAATGGTTTTTTTCTAGAAAAAACTTGAATTTGGACATACATAAAATATATTGTATTTATTTTATTTTATAGACGATATGTTTATGGGATATTAATGCTGCACCTAAAGACAATAGAACAGTTGATGCTTTAACAATCTTTACAGGCCATACATCAGTAGTTGAGGTAATCATTATGTGAATAACAGTTTGAGAAATCATCTGTCCTGCTGCATTTACATCCAGGCATATTCAGAACTAAATGTTTTCATTTAATTATTAGTCACTCATCAACAGTGTGTGTGTTTGTCATCTTCTAAATTGACTGTTAAATAGTTTAAAAAAAACAAAGGTCATGATGCAAGAAGTAAAATAGAACATCGGAAAAGCACTTTTGCTGTGCACAGAACAACTTGATGCCAGTTTGGTGCTGGATGAGTTTAGTTTATTTGCAAGAATGTCATTAGAAGCTGGCAACCAGCAAATTTTGCCGTTTAAATAAGGTCAACTTCCAACAACTTTTCAGCTAGAAAAGATCAGTAAAATAATTTCAATAAAATAATTTTGCGTGATATTAATTTAAACTAATTTAATTCCTAAACGCCAAGCACACAGACGTGTCAACTAACCTGTTTTTTTGCGTGAGACTCGCAGCCTTTCTCCAGATCTCCTGCAAGGGAGGAAATTGCTCACGGAAAATGGTCATATGCCAACGCTAGTTTCACTTTCACAAAGGGAGGTAACCCTCTTACTAACGTTGTAAAAATGCCTGATAAAGACCACTAATTTCAAATGTTTTTTAGGGAGAATCTTGATTCAACATCCCTTATTAGAGAGAATCTTGATTCAACATCCCTTATTAAAATCTATTTTTCAGGCATTTAGAGTTTGAATAATTAATAATGATTTAGAATTCTGAAAGAAAACATTTCAAACTATTGTTTGATGATAACTGAAAATCAATAAATTCACTACTGTCTGCTGTGTATAGCCTATAGTACAAAATGAATGAATGCGACTTCTGACTGATTTTGCTGGCACCGATCACATTAGTGGAATGCAGAAGTGTACTGAATTTTAACAAGTTTTGCTAATAATATCCAGAGTTATAGCATTTGTTCACTTTGTAAAAGTTCATATAGATGGTTTAAATTAGTGATACATCAGACCTCAAGCATTCATTCCATTTCTGGTATAATTATTATCAAGTTGACATTTGTAAAAATCATTCTATATCTTGTTTCTATTTAGGATGTGGCGTGGCATTTGTTACATGAAAGTTTGTTTGGTTCAGTAGCAGATGATCAGAAATTAATGATGTAAGCTATTATACAAATTTTATTTCCCCATCCCCACCTTTTGATGAAAGCAAGGTGCTATTATAGTATTAAGAAAGGATTGTTTGCCTGTCAGTCTGTCCCTTTTTGCATTTTGCGACACAAATAACTGATGATAATGAATAAAATGCTTTGAAATCTACAAATAATTTTATTCTGATTGACATTGCCTTCATTATAATCATAATATAACCATAAGCAGCTTCGACAGTTATGTTTTCTGACAATTTGTGAAGTTCTCAGACTCCTCCCTACAGAAGATTTGTCAATTTCAATGTCAACTGCATGATCCACTATATTGTTATGGTTTCCTTTGAGTAATCATGAATAACCAACTCAACAATTTTTATCGTTAAGACTTTAGAAAATACTGTGAAATTTAATGAATTAGTTTTAATCAAGCTTGATAGGTAAAAGTATGACCATTATAGCTCAATTAGAAAGTGATGGATTGACAGACAAACCTATTGCATTAAACATTAGAAGCCCATAATTTCACAGTAATATAACAACCTCATTGTTGAATGAAATGGACCAATACTGAATTCTATCTCTTTTATGGATAATGTTGTTAGAGAGCTATACACCCTTTAATTTGTTGATTTTTAAAAGTACATTACAGTATTTTATATTGTGAAAGATTATAATTGTAATTTAGATGGGACACAAGATCGAATAATACAAGTAAACCAAGTCATACAGTTGATGCTCATACAGCAGAAGTAAACTGTTTATCATTTAATCCTTATAGTGAGTTTATACTGGCTACTGGTTCTGCTGACAAGGTAATCAATCATTCTGTTGTCTTATAATAGTTTTATATTGACATAAATGTACCAGAAATAAAGCAGATTGACCTTCACATAGATTTTTACTAAAAAGTGACACAATACAAGTTAACATTGTTTACACTGTAGAATTATTTTTTAAAATTGAATAAAGAATGTATACATATTGCTAATAGTGTATGTTTTTTGTTTTTTAGACGGTGGCTTTATGGGATTTGAGAAATTTGAAGTTAAAACTGCACTCATTTGAATCTCATAAAGATGAAATATTTCAGGTAATCTTTGTTTTATCAGTTTCTAAATATTGTTGGTTAATGTATTTATACTCTCAATCTTTAAGTAATGCAAATGAAAAACTGTTGTCTCTACCGTATGGAACTTGGTTTTTCGTAAAGCCTAACCAATTGACTAACATTGTAATATTTGAATTATATTTTCTAGGTACAATGGTCTCCCCATAATGAAACTATTTTAGCATCTAGTGGTACTGATAGAAGATTACATGTATGGGATCTTAGGTTTGTACAATATCTATAAACTATTTATTGTAACCTTCAACCATATTTGTTCCCTGTCATTGTTAAGAGTATATACAAAGGATGTTTTGATAGGAGGTATCTATTCAAATATTTTGAAATTATAATGTTGAAGATATATGTATGATAAACATCAGTAACATCTTTTATACTGTAGTAAAATATTTTTGAAAATTATGATAATCATCAATAACATCTTTTATATTAAATTATGTAACGGCACTAATTCTATTGGACCTTTTGGCAGCATTTGATACTGTGGATCATCAAATCCTCTCCAGTCACCTCAAAAATGAATTCCTAATAACAGGAATTGCACATAATTGGTTTATGTTATACGTTGAAAACCGTAGTCAGCGGTTTATAATAAATGATGTTAAGCCTGACCCAGTTATCCTTAAATGTGGAGTACCGCATGGATCGGTTCTAGGTCCAGTGTTATTCTTGCTCTACTTGTCATCTTTGGCTAACATTATATCCCAACACCTCTGTCTTGAAATCCCTACATTGACTTCCGATTCATGCATGTATAGACTTCACGATCCTATGTTTGACCTACCAGTGTCAACAGGGTACAGCACCCTCGTATCTTTCAGAACTACTAACTTTATACCAGCCAACTCGTACTTTGAGATCCCAGTATCAAAACATTTTATGTATTCCATCATCAAAATTAAAACTGTTCGTAGATAGAAGCTTTAGTAATGCTGCACCAAAACTGTGGAACAATTTACCTCAAAATATTCGCAACAGCAAAACTCTTACAAGTTTCAAATCCCAATTAAAAATTCACTTGTTCAAACGATCTTATGTTGACTTAATATTTAAACAGACATGTATATAGTTTATTGCTCTTAAAAGCGCTTTGAGCATGCTTATGGATGGATTTGACGCTCAAGAAATGGACATTTATTATTATTATTATTATTAATAATAATATTGTTGGGAATGTATGACATATATAATGATAATCATTAATTACATCTTTTATATTATAGTAAAATTGGTGAAGAACAATCAGCTGAAGATGCAGAAGATGGTCCTCCAGAACTATTGGTAAATATATACTGTTAAAAAAATGTATGGAAATAATCCTGACAGTGAAATTTAAAATCCTGTTATTTAAATTAGATGAGTTACTTAAAGATACATTATGGGAGATATTTATAGAGAGTGAGTCATTCTTGCTATAACAGTTCAAAAGTAGATGATGAAAGAAGAATATATTGAAAAATTCAGTCAAATTACTTTATTCTGAACATAGTTATCATCGTTGTAATATTTGCCTAGAAATGGTAGCGAAATGTGTCTTCACCGTCGCCGAACGTTTGATTGACAGGCATTAACTCCACCTACATATCTCGATTATCAAGTAAAGTTTTCAATGGCATACGGAAACGCTTTACAGCGGCCTCGCTAAGTACACTCTATCATTTAGCCTCGATCTAACTGACGTATTTTCATCAGGTTACCCCTTATCTGATTTAATCAATTAGTGAAATCCTATTTAAATCCGAGCTGTAACCGAGCCATCCGTGGGTCTACAGAGTTGATTTTGGTCTTGTTGTTTAAATAAAGATCTAAATTAAGACTTGCAATAATCAGATTTAGCTCTTGCATAATTCATGTTTAATCTTTTGATAATCTCCTTGATAAAACGGGAGCCACGGTGGCTAGGTGGTTAAGATGCTGGCTCGCTAGCCCGGAGGTCGGGTGTTCGATCCCTGCATTGGCCGAGAAAGTTCATCTGGATTTTCCGACGTGGTTTCCCCTTGTCAGTGGTGCAGAACGGAGGGCCTGACAAGGACAGCTGTCTAGTCCTTCGGATGAGACGAAAAACCGAGGTCCCGTGTATACATTGGAATGAATGTAAAAGATCCCTTAGCAGTTGGAATTCGATATAAGAGTAGGCGATAGTGCCGCTGCCCGGGCAAATTTCCCTCATAGCACACTGTATGGCGTATGCCCGTCTTCATTAGCCCAGTATAGGAGCAGAACAGTAGGACGTTAAACCCCATTTCATTTCCTTGATAAAACATTTAACACACTTCAGACCATAGGCAATTGTTTGTCTTACACAAGAATTTTCCCATAGCTTTTAAGGTTACACTGTTAATTTAAGCTTTATCCACACATAGATATATAGAAGTTTCAAATTCTTTAGATTTCTAGCAATATTGTCAGTCATTTACATAGAAAATGTGCAAAATATTGTAATAGTTAGGCTATAATAAAATGTTTGTAAAAAAAAACCCAATAATATATAATTTCTGTAATCATACTTTAATATAGTTAATGAAAGTACTTTTTAATTTCTGCAGTTTATCCATGGTGGACATACTGCTAAAATATCTGATTTCTCCTGGAATCCAAATGAACCATGGGTAATATGTTCTGTATCAGAAGATAATATCATGCAAGTGTGGCAGATGGTAAGTTTTGACAAAGTAAATTCAAAATGGGTGTTGGCATTTACTTTTTTAGTTCAGTTTTCTTTTTATATGTCCACATTTTCATGTGGAGGTATATTGTCCTCGCCCCTGTCCGTCCATGCATGTGTCCGTTCACATTTGTTTGTGGACACTCTACAGGTCACAATTTTTATCCGATTTTGACGAAACTTGAAATAAAGGTCTATCTGACAAAGATCTTGGTTCCATTCGATATTGGCATGTATCGGACCATAACTTCATAGATTATGGCCCCAGATTGTACAAAAAATCATGTTTTTGGCTTGTGTACACTGTAGAGGTCACAATTTTCATTTGATTTTGATGAAACTTGAAATGCATGTTTATAACCCAAAATCTTGGTTCCTTTTGGTATTCGCGCACATCGGATCGAAACTTCCTGAATTATGGCTCCTGATTGTAGAAAAAATCACGTTTTAGCTTGTGGTCACTCTAGAGGTCCAAATTAAAAAAACGCTTGAATATATGACTGTTACATTGTAATGTCGGTTGAGATCAAATTTTGTGAAAATAGACTAAAACTGGCAGACACAATGGCCACCCCTTGTGGACCCTCCAGAGGTCACAATTTTGATCCAATTTTGATGAAACTTGAAATACACCTTTATAACCCAAAGATCTCAGTTCCTCTCGATATTTGCGCATATTGGATTGTAACTTTCTGAATTATGACCCTTGATTGTATGAATATATCCCTGTTACACACTAATGATGGTTGAATTCAAATTTTGTGATAATCGGACCAAAACTGCCACATGCAAATAGTGTAAAAAATATGGTATATCAAGGTTGCAGACCATCTAGAGGCCACAATTTTTATCTGATTTTGATGAAACTTAAAAGTTATGTTTATATCACCAAGATCTTGGTTCCTTTCGATAATCGCGCACATCTGAACGTAGCTTACTGGATTATTGCCCCTGATAATTCGAAAAATCACATTTTTAGCTTGTGGACCCACTAGAGGTCACAATTTTTAACCCTAAAATCTATCCGATTTTGATGAAACTGGAAATATATGTTTATAATCCAAAGATTTCTTTTGATATTTGTGCATATCGGACCGTAACTTCTTGGATTATAACCCCAGTTTGTACGAAAAATCACATTTTTAGCTTGTGGACCCTCTAGAGGTCACAATTTTTATCCACTTCAAAAAACATTTAAATTTAACACCGTTACACCCTAATGACGGTTGAGTTCCAATTTCTTGAAAATTGGACCAAAACTGCCTGACAAAAAGGCGGCTCTTTGTATGCAAATAGTGTAAATGTATGTCATACCAAAATTGTGGACCCTCTAGAAGTCACAATTGTTATCAGATTTTTATGAAACTTAAAATATATGTTTACGTCCCAAAGATCTCAGTCCCTTTCTGTATTTGCGCACTTCAGACCATAACTTTCTGGATTATGGCCCCTGATTGTACGAAAAATCACTTTTGTTTTTAGCTTGTTCTCTATCCATCTCTTGCAAAATGTGGACGTATCTTGCCTGGCAACCGCTGGTTATATTGTCTGCCATATTAAACAATCCAGTGTAAAATATTCATGTTAGTAGACAAGTATTATATAATTTTGAAAATATTCAGTAAGGGAGCTACAGTGGCTTAGTGAGTAAGGCACTGTCTCACTAAACTGGAGGTCCAGGATTCATTCCTGGAGAGCTTGGCTGGCAAGGAACAGTGACTAGTCATTCGCATGGAATAAAAAACCAGTCAGTCAGAACTCGAAATAAAGAGTGCCACTGTTTATGTAAAATTTCCCTCATAGCACAATTCTTGGCATATGCTTGTCTTTATTAGCACGGATGGAGCAGAAAAGTAGGACATTAAACCCCATTTCATTTCATCTTGTATAGGCAATAAGATTTTCGTTTTTTTCCTCTTACAGGCTGAAAATATATATAATGATGAAGAACCAGATACACAAGCTTGTGAACTTGAGGCTTCAGCATCTTAAAATAATGTGCTATAATTCAGTCATCATCATCATCGTCATCATCATTTTATCTTATTAAATCATATTTAAGCTTATTTGTTAAATACTAAGAGTTCTGAGAAAGACTTTGTTTCCTGGAAAATATCTAAATCGCACGTTGGACATTTGTGTTTCATTACCATTTGAAGCACCAGAATCGTTGTTGGTAATTCTGAAAAGTAATCAGTAATAGAAGTCTGTACAAGAACTTTTAAACTGAAAAAATTATATTGTGTTACAAGACATACTGGCTGTTTTCTTTGTGTATATCCTTTTTATTATCTACTATCTATCTTAAATTGTATCTACAATCTATATAATACTTGCTTTATTCGTGCTTAGCTCTACCATTTGTTTAAAATAAACATTTCTTGTGTCATTCTGTGACTCCCTCTTTATATGTCTATTTCTACGTTCAGTCACAACTTTAGGGTACTAACAAGACCGGAAGATGTTTTTAACCAAACCTGAGGGGACAATAAGTTTCTCTTTGTCTGCGTTTCATTTTCCAGAATATTTTTTAAAGATGCATTATGTAAGAGCTAAATCTGCCTATCGCAGATCTTTCTTTTGGCCTCAAATGTTATATAAATCATTTATTCACATGCCAAGCCAACAATCAACTCTCTAGATCACCGGATGGTTGGGGTTTTCAATCACAATTGACAGTCAATTAAAAAATTGATAATCGAGACTTTGATTATTATGGTAGCAAGGGTAGCAATGACTACAGTATTTTTAAATGGCCATGACTTCGATCAGAATAAAGTAATTTGACTGAAATTTTTAATATATTCCGTTTTCATTATCTATTTTTTAACTGTCGGCTCTTTATTCAAATTTGGTACAATATGGAGCCGAGTTACTGGTCAAGTTCACTTATTCGTGTGATTCCATTAATTATTTACGTCATTACCTTAAAATCAATGAAAATTATGTTTTACGAAGTTATGCGAGATAGTTCTTACAATTTGCTGTATATAGCAGAGCTACAGACCAAATTCATGTTTAATGAAATAACAGAAAATACCCAAATCTAATTATGTCTATGGGTGTGGCTTTCTTAATGCAAAAATACACTAAAAGAATATAACATGAAAGACTGATAGAGAGAAGAAGCTTGAGATTTCAAAATAGACAGCTCCCCTTATTCCAGTCGCACATTCATGCAAGTTAACCATGATTTCCAACACTGATGGTGATAATATATATACATAATTATAGCCATCCTATCCAATATGTTGTGGCTTAATCATCTCAATTTATTACAGTGTGTTACCTACGTGTAGGCCCATAGCATATGCAAGTTTAAGAATTAGATAACCCTGCGCGATTGTCCACCATTCTAGCTAAGAACAAAACGGTCATCCTTGACCCTGAATCACTGATTTCCCATCAGAAGACTGGAAAGGCCATTATTCATTTTGGAAACTATCGGAGCATTCCATAGAAAGGAAATCCCGCTAGAGCTAGTATCCATCACGCATGGATATCGAGGAAGCAGATCATCTTGTGATTGAAAGAATCTGACACAGCATAGTTGAAAGACTGATCAATCCAATATGGGAATTAAACCTTGTTATAGATTTCAGCAAGATGACAAGATCAACACGAAGTCATCGATCAATCACCCCAGAAGAGATGAAGGGAGGTGAAAGTACTTCAAGTACCTTATGCGAATGTTGAGTAATGCACCACCAGACATGTACTTGTAGATTGTGAAATATACTGGCAAGAGGAAGAGAGGGATAGCGATTAACATGCCTCTCAACATGCCTTAGTTTCAGATCTTGAACTGATCCACGCTGGTATGACAGAACCAATCAGACTACGTTGGTCATTATCACAGAATATATAACTTCCCTCGACTGATTGAACCCTGGACTTCCACCGTGGCTCGGAAATGATTCACATAGATTTTAATTAAACATACATTATGCAAGAGCTAAATCTGTCTATTGCAGGTCTTTCTTTAGGCCTGAAATGTTATCTAAATTATTAATTAGACATTAATTAACCAATCCAGACCATAATCAACCCTAGATGGCATCGCTAGCTAGCGATCTTTAGTGAATTGTGAGCCAATTTACTGCATAACTTTCCTTCGCGATTTAACGATTAATGGATAATCTGACTATGCTGTTAATCGTACTGATGATCAAGGCTAGCCGGAAATTTCAACTGCTTAGTTCTCATAATCTTTTAGTGGCATTTAGCGATCGGGCAACGCATTAACAGAACACAGTTTTTATGGGGTACAATCACTAGTTTGTTCTAAAAGCAGGACGATTCGACAAGTATCCTCTCATCGTTATCAAGCACAAATGACAATTTAGTAAACTTGTGGACAATATAATATATGAAATCAATAAGAAACCATCTGCTGGGATAAGAATAACAGTACCTGTAATAGAAATAATCTAGGTGTAAAGGTTATTTAACAATAACAACAAACATAACATAGTTCTCGGTTCACAATCTGTTTCACAGAGATCTTTTAATATCTCTATTACCGATGACTGTTTCGACACATGACGTCACATCACGCGGTGTCAATCATTGGCCCAATAGCGCGTGCATTGTTTACATAAGACGTTACTGATTCGGGCTAAATGGTGAATTTTACTTATTTTAATACCCATTTACACTAAATAGGAAATGATTTTTACCTACAAACAATTCAAACGTCTTTATTTATTTTTCTAATAAATGAAAAAAAATGTTTTAGAATTTAATTTGACGGAAGAAAAAGGTTAATATTTGGGACTCATTAAGTCGCATCGATGTCATCCTCATCAATGATTGTAGCGGCCTAGCGAAAATTCACTTCTGATCAGTGTGCTCGGTTCATAGTGGATCAATTTGAATGAAATTTTCAGCAAATTGCCTTTACATTATCTAGTTTTTAACTATTATAGTGAGAACTGCCAACTATTGAATCTCCCATAATGTATCTTTAATTAATAATGACCCAATTATGGATCTTTATGGTTCATACCCTACTGGTATTCAAGAGGATGTATTTGCCCTCACAACTATGTTATAACTTAATATTTCAAAGTCGTGTTAAACTGGTTAACGTTTTAAAAAAAAAATTAACCAAAAAGAACTATATATGTAACGGTTTGACAAACAAAATGCAAAGAAACTAACAAAGCAAGATACGTTAACTGCTCAATACGAATTGAATACAGATCTATAATTTTGTACACAGGATTGGGGGGAATTTAAAAATCATCATTTTAAATCATAAATTCCTAATGAATATAAGATGAATTTCAGTCAAATAACACCAATGAATACAGCGGTAACATGGGCGTTGATTTACCAGCGTCAAACTTTAAGTTGACGTTTGCGGAACGCAGAATATCGATAAGATTCGTGGCGTCACTCCAAATTTGAAAAAAAAACTAATAAAAACCAGTAACCCCTACCTAGGGGTGTCCAAACCTCAGCCTGCTCAGCTATGGCCGTGTGCTTTATCCTGTATCATCAGATGGCGGGGTGGAATTGGCATTCAAAGCACGAAATAATGATAGAGACGTGTGATATCAATGCTTTGCACCAATGCAATTTAATCACAATGTGATCCTATTAATTCATGATACAATTAACGTCAAACGGGGTGTTGGATTTTTCTCTTTAAAAAGCTTATAGTATATTTATGCCTACGTAATATAGAGACGATGATGGCATCATACATTGTCAACTGTCAAATTTCCTTAACAGGAGCCTGGCAAACCCCCTCCTGCAGAAATTCCTGGATCCGCTCCTGATAGGCGTGCCCGATCAGCTTCAAAAGGAGGAGAGGGCTTAAATGCGCGGGAAAAAATCCCATCGGCAACAAGGCATCAGCATGCGCCTAAGGCGCACAGCACGGCATCGGACAGGGTCGGCTTAATAGCATTATACTATAGTCCACCGGACAGTGCAGTACTGGGGTGCCCACCTACACAACATGAATAACAATATAAATGTTCGACAAATTTAAACACGTATTTATTGCATTGGTACATCCAACAGAATCAGCCCTTAAACATTAAAAAAAACAACCCGTTGTTCATGCGGATCTAGAAGCAGGCGCGAATATTATACGTCGCTATAAAAAGAATTTAAATGAAACGAAATGGGGTTAAACGTACTGTTCTGTTCCGGACTGGGCTAATGAAGACGGACATGCGCCATACAGTGTGCTATGAATGAATTTTGCCCGGACAGCGGCACTACGGCCTACTCTTATATCGAATTCCAACTGTCAAGGGATCTTTTACGTGCACTGTATGGCGTATGCCCGTCTTCATTAGCCCAGTTCGGAGCAGAACAGTAGGACGTTAAACCCCATTTCATTTTTTGTCCCCCGCCTTTCGAAGAAAGCAGGGGACTATTAAAATGAGTTCGTCCGTCTGTCTGTCTGTCTGTCTGTCTGTCCGTCACACTTTTTGGGACACAATAACTCTCTTCCTAATTGAGCTAGAATGTTCAAACTTGGTGTATGTGTTTATTAGGTCAATGCCTTGATGGAGTTCGAAGATGAGCATTTTCCGCTTAGGGTAAGCAGAGATAAGCAATTTGATTGGTTGATGCTTTGGGACACGATAACTTTTAATTGAGCTAGAATGTTCAAACTTGGTGTATGTGTTTATTAGGTCAATGCCTTGATGGAGTTCGAAGATGAGCATTTTCCGCTTAGGGTAAGCAGAGATAAGCAATTTGATTGGTTGATACTTTGGGGCACGATAACTCTCTTCCTAATTGAGCTAGAATGTTCAAACTTGGTGTATGTGTTGATTAGGTCAATGCCTTGATGGAGTTCGAAGATGAGCATTTTCCGCTTAGGGTAAGCAGAGATAAGCAATTTGATTGGTTGATGCTTTGGGACACGATAACTTTAGTTCTAATTAAGTGAGATTGATGAAACTTGGTGTATAGTTTCATTACAGTAATACCTTGACTAAGTTTGATAATGAGCATTTTCTGCTCAGGGTAAGCAGAGCGATACGCAATTTGATTGGTCGAGACTTTGGAAAACAATAACTCTCCTACTTTGATTGTCCCCCGCCTTTCGAAGAAAGCAGGGAACTATTAAAATGGGTTCGTCCGTCTGTCTGTTTGTCTGTCTGTCCGTTCCGCTTATGGTAAGCAGAGATAAACAATTTGATTGGTTGATCTTCGAATTGAGTAAATGTTCATGCTTATTGTCCCCCGCCTTTCGAAGAAAGCAGGGAACTATTAAAATGGGTTCGTCCGTCTGTCTGTTTGTCTGTCCGTTCCGCTTAGGGTAAGCAGAGATAAACAATTTGATTGGTTGATGCTTTGGGACACTATAACTTTAGTTCTAATTAAGTGAGAGTGATGAAACTTGGTGTATAGTTTCATTAC